CATTAACTGACATGCCAGTGAGCCTACACTATTTGTCTCAGTGACATAATTTATCTTTGCTATAAAAATATTCCTCCCTTCAACGTGCACTTTTGGCTCACAACAAAGAGTTTTTTTAGTGTCTTATTGTTCCTGAAATGTCAAGCGCTGGTGGCTGTGTTGTCTATGCCCATGGGCCTGGTTCGTCCTGGCTGGACATGTTTCTCACATGGCCCTATCACTGCGCTGTAGGCTGAGTGTGTGTGTACAGGACACACCCCCTCTCATTCTACCTGTCCTCTCAGGAAGCGTGACCCACAGGCCGTTGGCACGCGGCAGCATGGCGCTCTCATCTGTGCAGAGAAAGTAGACAAACACCACAAGCTTCATTAGAGCATCCGCCCACCACGACACATCATCCAAGGCCTGCTCTGTTAGCTGACCTCACCACGCCCGGCTGGGACCTGGCCCAGCGCAGGACTCTGTGGGACGCAAGGGGGGACAGATGGGTCATAGACCCACGCCACACATCCAGGCCACAGAGTGCAGGAGCTGGCAGCGCTGGCATCACTGTGGGCATCTCAGGAAAACATGTCCATATGACACTCTATCACCCCATGATAGAGCACACAGTGATGTGGAAAAGTCATGGTATATCAAGTTGCGTCTCTAAGGGATTTCAGAAGTCAGACTTTTCTGGTTCAGACCCTGGCTAAATAGCTATTTGTTTTGATGAAAGGGAATGAAATGATTTTCTTGATTGGAATCATATTTCCCTCCAAGCCTTAGAAATATTATTTTGTCCTATAGCGCCATCACACTAGTAAGAAGAGGCAGAGGTGCCAGTGAAGCTGGAGATATGGCATGTTCATTGAACTCTTTCGATTGGAATTCCACAGATTACCAAACCACAGGCATTCCAAGGCCTACTCATCACCAGAGTTTCATTGTGGGCTCATGTTTCCATCCATTGGAATCATTTGTGGAAACAGAGAAATATGCAGCTACGTCATGGTTTCTTGTTTACTCTGTGACTCATGTCTGTAGCATTAGAGGAATGACAGAGAGCTAGGTAGGTATTGCACATTGTCATTCATTACACTCATTTAAATATAGACTGAGTGTACGTTCTGATTATTTATAAAGCATTGTTATCCCTACACTTATGCACATTATGTTCCTTAACCATTAATATTATTTCAACCTTGTCTTAATATATTTAAAAGCAAGCTCTCCAAAGTATAATAAAGTGCTTTCTCTAAATGTAGGGCCTTATGTCAGGGTCAATATTTGGCATAAACACAGGAACTGATTATGTACAAAATCACATTTTGATGATCTTTTTCCTGATACTACCTCATGTTTGTTCTTAGATGTCCATATAAGATTAGCTTCACAGTTCTGCTAAACGAGACTGACATTCCAGACAATGACTAAACATAGTTTTAAACCTGACAGAACACATTTCCTATCCCAACACCAAGTATGAACACAAACTGACTATTATTGGTCCACATGATCAAATGTGGGTCTTCATCAACACGTTTCTTTATGTGTGATTTAGTTATCAATCACATATAATAACATTGGATTTCTTAGCTGAATGTGTTTACCATCAGCACTGGGAAGACTTTGGTAATGTTGATATACGCCATGGTTAGGTTTTTAGGTTTCTGAAACTGGCCTGAAATCAGGCTGATTAACACTAAATGGAGCCCAAACCTTTAAAGAGGGCTTTGTTGTGCTCTGTATATCAGTGAAACAGAGGAGATGTGGTGCATGTGGTAGGTTTTGCATTGTATCTAGCTGCTGCACATGGCTTTCTATCAGCAGACGTGGGCGATTATGTAGGAGGTGGATGTTCTTGCGGACTACAGGGGGCACATACAGTACTAGCAGATTCAGAGCAGTGTTGAGCTCTGTGGAGTTATTAATAGACTCCTGGATGGAGCTACCTTCTTGCCCAGAACATGCTAGAGACTACGGTGATGTGGCCTGCTGCTTTCCTCTCCTATCACCTTATTCACCTCTTCTGATTAACCTGTCGTATGCTTTTGTCATGTTATGACATTCAGCTTCTGAAAATCATCAGCATCATCACAGGGTTGTGGCATTTCAACCTTAGACCATAGAAAGCAGATCCCAGCCTTTCATTGGTCAAACGTACAGTCTGGTTGTTAGCAGTTTATGAGTGTAAGCGGATTATGTAAGGTCTGTTGGTCGAGATGTGAAGCTGCAGCATTAAGGTGAATTAGTGAGAGTGACGCCCTCTTAGTGACCTATATGGTGGGTTGACCCTTCAGACCAAGACTCAGTGGAGTCCAGGAACGTCATTTATAAACGTTGCGCATGTACAAAATATACCCCAAAACAGTTTTCCCTCAAAAGTTGGAATTTATAAAAAACTAAACTTGCTGTGAGAATGTCCTTACCTCCATGCAAACTTTAGACCATGTGTACACACATTTTTCTAGTGGTTGAAGTATTGTATTGCAGGCAGGCAAGTAAGTATTTTGTGCAAATGGGGCACAGGATGACACGCTTATTCATAAAAAAAATCAACAAAAGGAAAACATAATAACAATTTGCAGCCATTTGCCGTTAGTAAGAAGAGAGAAAATCTATGTGTGTTTTATTTTTGGAATCTTAAGTAATTAGACATAGGAATCTATTTCCTATTTATTTTATTTTCATAACCATTGCAGAATAAATTCCTCACCTTTTCTGGCCGTGATGGGTTCATATTCCCGAAGTAGCCATACAATGAATTACCATGCACATCTCTCATTTGGGCCTAGTAGCCTTGTAAAAAGGCTATGTATTTCAAGTTTTGCGGTGTACGATCCCATAGGCAGCACGGTTTATAATGCACAGTCAAATTTAACATGAGAACAGACAGTTGATCTTTTACATTGAAGTAAAGTGCCTTCGGAAAGTATTCAGACCCCTTGACTTTTTCCACATTTTGTTATGTTACAGCCTTATTCTAAAATTGATTAAATAAAACATTTTCCTCCGCAATCTACACACAATACCCCATAATGACAAAGCAAAAACAGGTTTTTAGAATGTTTCGTTATTTTAGTAAAAATAAAAAACAGAAATACCTTATTTAGATAAGTATTCAGACCCTTTGCTATGAGACTCGAAATTGAGCTCAGGTGCATTCTGTTTCCATTAAGCATCCTTGAGATATTTCTACAACTTGATTGGAGTCCACCTGTGGTAAATTCAATTGATTGGACATGATTTGGAAAGGCACCTGTCTATATAGGTCCCACAGTCGACAGTGCATGTCAAAGTAAAAACCAAGCCATGAGGTTGAAGGAATTGTCCGTAGAGCTCCGAGATAGGATTGTGTCGAGGCACAGATCTGGGGAAGGGTACCAAACAATTTCTGCAGCATTGAAGGTCCCCAAGAACACAGTGGCCTCCATCCTTCTTAAATGGAAGAAGTTTGGAACCACCAAGACTCTTCCTAGAGCTGGCCGCCCGGCCAAACTGAGCAATCGGGGGAGAAGGGCCTTGGTCAGGGAGGTGACCAAGAACCCAATGGTCACTCTGACAGAGCTCTAGAGTTCCTCTGTGGAGATGGGAGAACCTTCCAGAAGGACAACCATCTCTGCAGCACTCCACCAATCAGGCCTTTATGGTAGAGTGGCCAGACGGAAGACACTCTTCAGTAAAATGCACATGACAGCCCACTTGGAGTTTGCCAAAAAGCACCTAAAGACTCTCAGACCATGAGAAACAAGATTCTCTGGTCTGATGAAACCAAGATTGAACTCTTTGGTCTGAATGCCAAGCATCTGGATGAAACCTGGCACCATCCCTACGGTGAAGCATGGTGGTGGCAGCATCATGCTGTGGGGATGTTTTTCAGCAGCAGGGACTAGGAGACTTGGCTTTGGGACAAGTCTCTGAATGTCCTTGAGTGGCCCAGCCAGAGCCCGGACTTGAATCCAATCTAACATCTCAGGAGAGACCTGAAAATAGATGTGCAGCAACACTCGCCATCCAACCTGACAGAGCTTGAGAGGATCTGCAGAGAAGAATTTGAGAAACTCCCCAAATACAGGTATGCCAAGCTTGTAGCGTCATACCCAAGAAGACTTGAGGCTGTAATCGCTGCCAAAGGTACTTCAACAAAGTACTGAGTAAAGGGTCTGAATACTAATGTAAATGTGATATTTAAGTTGTTGTTTTTGTTTTTTTGCGAACATTTGTACAACCGGTTTTTGCTTTGTCATTATGGGTATTGTGTGTAGATTGATGAGAAAATAAAAACAATTTAATCGATTTTAGAATAAGGCTGTAATGTGACAAAATGTGGAAAAAGTCAAGGGGTCTGAATACTTTCAGAATGCACTGTATACATGCACAGTATGCTACAGCTGTAACTACTGTAGGAAAATAAAAATAAATACACTAGCCTAGTCAATGTTTCAGAATTCAGTCCAGCATATTCAGGTTGGGGGAAAAAGTTGATGCAAAACATTGTTGAATTCAAACATTCTTCTGACAGGTCCACAACAATTTGCCATAGTTTTTTATTTCAGAAACTGTCACAGTCCTTTGCCAAATACAGAATAAGTTAGTGCAAAAGATTAAAAGATTCTGCCAACACCTCCAAAAACATTTGATAAAAAGTAGCTTAATTCCAATAGTTCCAAATTATACAGCATTCTTGTCACCATAAAAGGTGAATGGAGGGTGATTTCCAGGTGGAGTTATAATGCTCATTCACACGCGCACAGTTTAACACAGTTTTACTACGGGTCTGATTTATAACAGGAAACATGCGTATATGTGGCGTGCGCCAAGTTTATAAATCATAATATTTTTATACGTACATATTATTTTCAGAAATGGCGCATGCAGATATTTAGTGTAAAATTCATGCAAAGGTTATAAATGAGGCCCCAGGCCCCTCCAGAGCTGCCCCATGGGCCAGGGCTCCTCTCTGAGCTGCCAACCCATGCCCACAGCCCCTCTCTGGGTATATCAACGTCACGATCAGCATGCCACCCCCAGCCCCAAGCTTCCAGCAGCAGGAACAGCAGCATATGCCACTGATCTCAACGGGCCAGTGTGTGAAGTGTAATGCGCCACAGCAATGACAGATGGTTCATGTGGGTCAACCTGGCGCTGTGACTGGAGGAGAGCGAGAGAGGAGGGACCCTCACCCTGCTCCCACAATCCCATTCATTCACAAAGCTGCCTGCCAAAGGTTATTGGGAAATGGCTCCATTTGATGAATGTGGACTGGTCTCCATGTTGGGTGGAGGTGGAAGGATTGACTCTGTGGTGTGCTGTGCTCTGCAGTGAGAAGCACAGGGCTGATACATACAGTGATGGTGAGAGGTATGGTGCTAGATTAGCTTACGCATGGCCAGACTAGTGCAGGGTAGATTGATTACAAATTTGCTGTGAGTGCCCTACTGGGATCAAGTCCTCCGGCTACTTATCCTGCAACCGTTGAGACATGACTGTTGCTCAGCAAAAATGTTACAAACGATGCAGTTAATGATACTCACTTGTACATTTCAACAGACAGTAGAATTAAGATTGAAGTGATATGAACATCACAGAATGTAAGAATACAGCACAGAATTAATTTTAACTGAATCTTGACAGGAGTAATATATAGCAGAAGCCAGAGACATATTCTACTTAACTGGTCTCTGTAGATGGATTTCTGAAAAGAGTAGAGGGGACTCTATTTCAAACACACAGAGGAACAGTCCTCTTCATCAAATTGGCTGTGCAGCAGGTACCACATGCCAGGTAGCACAATAGATGACATTTATGGGCATTGTTTAAGGGTTTGTTAATATTCACAGACATATAAAAAATATATATACAGTTAAAGTCGGAAGTTTACATACACCTTAGCCAAATACACTGCTCAAAAAAATAAAGGGAACACTAAAATAACACATCCTAGATCTGAATGAATGAAATAATTTTATTAAATACTTTTTTCTTTACATAGTTGAATGTGCTGACAACAAAATCACACAAAGATTATCAATGGAAATCAAATTTATCAACCCATGGAGGTCTGGATTTGGAGTCACACTCAAAATTAAAGTGGAAAACCACACTACAAGCTGATCCAACTTTGATGTAATGTCCTTAAAACAAGTCAAAATGAGGCTCAGTAGTGTGTGTGGCCTCCACGTGCCTGTATGACCTCCCTACAACGCCTGGGCATGCTCCTGATGAGGTGGCGGATGGTCTCCTGAGGGATCTCCTCCCAGACCTGGACTAAAGCATCTGCCAACTCCTGGACAGTCTGTAGTGCAACGTGGTGTTGGTGGATGGAGCGAGACATGATGTCCCAGATGTGCTCAATTGGATTCAGGTCTGGGGAACGGGCGGGCCAGTCCATAGCATCAATGCCTTCCTCTTGCAGGAACTGCTGACACACTCCAGCCACATGAGGTCTAGCAGTGGCTTCTGGAGCAGTGGCTTCTTCCTTGCTGAGCGGCCTTTCAGGTTATGTCGATATAGGACACGTTTTACTGTGGATATAGATACTTTTGTACCTGTTTCCTCCAGCATCTTCACAAGGTCCTTTCCTTTGATGTGCACTTTTCGCACCAAAGTACGTTAATCTCTAGGAGACAGAACGCGTCTCCTTCCTGAGCAGTATGATGGCTGCGTGGTCCCATGGTGTTTATATTTGCGTACTATTGTTTGTACAGATGAACATGGTACCTTCAGGCGTTTGGAAAATGCTCCCAAGGATGAACCAGACTTGTCTACAATTTCTTTTCTGAGGTCTTGGCTGATTTCTTTTGATTTTCCCATGATGTCAAGCAAAGAGGCACTGAGTTTGAAGGTAGGCCTTGAAATACATCCACAGGTACACCTCCAATTGACTCAAATGATGTCAATTAGCCTATCAGAAGCTTCTAAAGCCATGACATCATTTTCTGGAATTTTCCAAGCTGTTTAAAGGCACATTCAACTTAGTGTATGTAAACTTCTGACCCACTGGAATTGTGATACAGTGAATTATAAGTGAAATAATCTGTCTGTAAACAATTGTTGAACAAACAACTTGCCAAAACTGTAGTTTGTTAAAAATAAATTTGTGGAGTGGTTGAAAAACGAGTTTTAATGACTCCAACCTAAGTGTATGTAAACTTCCGACTTCAACTGTATTTAGTACTTAGTTGGTTTTCCTCTCTCAGGGACGGATTCTATTGGCTGTGATGATGTCACAGATGATTCAGCAGTGGTCTCAGGGATTCCGCTAGTTGTTACATTGACATTTGCTTTTTTTGGAGGAAAGCAATGCCTTTTTTTAAGTGCTTGGATAGGTAGTGGGTTTGATGGTTGTCACAGGAATTGAATATTATATACTGTCAGAAAAGACAGCAAGAAGCCTTTGCAGATGACAAGGACAGAACTTCCCCAAACTAAAGTTTGCTGCAGCCTGCAGGCTCACAGTGCTAGTCCATTTTCCTCTGCCTATGCATGCTGAGTTCAGCAGATTGGTGTGAATTGGTTGGAGTTTGTACACGGAGAACCCATAGAGCTATGGAGTTATCAGAACAGAGGGAGAAGTATTAGACAGGCTTGGATGGGTTTAACAATCACTTCCTATTGTTGGTGAAAATATCTCACATCTACCTCATTACCATATATTTACAGGTTTTAAAATTGAGGGAACAACAAGGCTGGCTCAATCCATTTTCCACAGACTTCTTGGAATCAACAGTAATGGTGTGACTGCTGCCATAGGTCTGGTTCCTAATGCCTTGGAGTTTTTCAGTGAGAGCAGACTGGTTCTGGTGTAAATGTGCAATTGAGACATCAATCAAGAGCTCTGATCAATTTCAGAACATTGGCACAGCACACTCAGTTCTGAGCTCCCCATTTAGCCCTTTTCATACTTTCACTTTGGCTTCAATGGAGCTTTTCTTAAGGATGTTGGTCTACTGTTGCCTCATTCATACTCTTCATGGGTGAAGTAGGCCTAATTCTGCTCTTGTCAATTTCCTTTCTTTTTCGGCATCAGACATGCCTACTTCTCACTTAAAATGTAGTTTTTGTGTTTAATTTCTATGTTTTTTTTACACCAGAAGGTGATTACACAGTATTATAATATAACATTACATTTGGAAATTTCAAAATGCAAAAACCTGCTAATGTGTGTCATCTATCTTTAGTAAAAGTACAATAATGTAGTTATTAGTATTTATTTAATGTTACTGTCACGATCGTTATGAGAAGCGGACCAAGGCGCAGCGTGATAGGCGTACATACTTTTATTAAGTGTACACAACACGAACAAAAACAACAAAACGATACGTGAAGTCCTAGGTAATACAACAACCACCCTGGCCAACATAGATCAAAACAAACTAGAACCAAAAACATAGTAAACAAAACATAGAAAATCCACACCCTGGCTCAACATATAAGAGTCCCCAGAGCCAGGGCGTAACAGTTACTGTGAAATATTAACGGCAGATCTTCCAGAGGGAAGCGCAAAACCAGAAAACCAGCCATATCATCCTCCAATGGGGACTGCGAGAGCTTCACATCTGAACCCATCAACAAGATACAATTTGAATAAACAATACAGTTTGAAGACTCACTGTAAGAATATTTTGCTACACACAGTATCAGTGGAAGGTGTCATTCCAAAAGGTGGCCTTTGCACAAAAAGTCATGACAACTCCGTGACATCCCGTCCCAAAGAGGGCTTATGTTGAAAAATCCTAAATACTTTTTACAGTGTATCATACACTGTGATTGGCGGAAGCATGGGAAAGTTATGCTCTTTAAAAGTTGATAAACTTGTTATCCCACTTAGGAGACAAGTAGGAGAAAATGCCCTGAAAAGATTTTGTTGAGTGATAGAGAGCTCTTCTTTGCCCATTCCGCATCGTTCACACCCTCTTAAGCCATAGACCCACCCATCTCTTTAAGAAACATGTAAACAAACGCTTGGCCAACCGTCAGCATGGTCAACCCCTCCATTATCTCAGCCAATCATGGCTAGCCAGGAAGGGTTATGTCTTTCTCCCTATATACTGTAGCTCAGTACTTTCTGCTTGGCTAAACTAGGCTCATAATTTAACATTTACGGCTCCCATACAAGTTTGTAATTAAGGCACATGAAAGTTCACATGTTTAAGAAGGCATGCCTGCAAAAACGGCCCTACTGTGAAGTAGGAACTAGTGTCATCCGCCCCCGTGGGCTGGCGTGTCACATATGAGTTGGCATAGGAATTGCATGACAACGACCAAATAAATAGTTTTAAATTGTACATTTGGCATGATAATGACCATAGGAGTTAAACAGATCTGGGACCAGGCTACAATGGTGGTGGATGGGATGAGTAACCACCATTAACATGGTCCCAGGAGCTCACAGCACAAACCCCCTTTTCCACACCCACCAGAACAATAAGCAGGCCTAGTGCCTTAACGTTGTCTTTAATCTTGGCTCGATTAGGACTGACTGTAAATGAAAGCAGTATTTTCCAGATAGGCTCTTTTCAGTAAGACTAGCAGGGGCCTGAGCCAAGCCCAGCACAGCCTGTGGAACGGAGCAAGAGTAAGGGCCACCGACAGTGTGCCTGAGTGTGGTCAGTCACACACCTACTCCCTGACACACAGTGATATCTCTGTCCACTCTGTCCTCTGTCCTCTCTTTCTGCTGTGAGGGCTGTATCAGCTGATGTCATGTCCAGCAGCTCACCCCCTCTCCTCTCCTGGGCTGTATTGATCAGTCTCATGGTTTAATCCTCCTCCTCTGTTTTCTACCACAGTTCAATCTCCCCTCGCTCCCTCTTTCACTACCGCAGCTTACTCCTGATGCCTTTATAAACCTTTTTGGTCCATACCCCTCCGCAGCTCTCATTTCCTCCTTGCAAAGACTGTGTGTGTGTGTGTGTGTGTGTGTGTGTGTGTCTGTGTGTGTGTGTGCGTGTGTGTGTGTGTGTGTGAGGAGCTCCTTGAAGTATTGCCTGTTCTATTGCCTCTCTCACTCACAGAGTTTTACCACTGATACTACTTCAATTCAATTCTTTAGTGCTCCAGGTTTAAAATGATTTCCCAAAAATTGTATTTCTGAGCTTCGAGAGGTCGGGGGGGCATTTACACTGCTTCCAGACAAGGTTTCTCTTTACCATTTTATTAAATTAATACATTTTCCTCCTTTGCTGGAGGGAGCCCTGTAAATGAATTATGAAACCATATATGTTAAATTAGCCTTTTTAATCCAGAACTTTACAGAGGTGTTTCCTAAAACAAAAGTGCTGTGTTACTGTGCTACCCTTTCAAATAGTTGTGGCAGAGACGTTTTTAACTACTGGCCAATAAATGGAATGAATGAATGTATTTTCTGCTATCACATAGAATCCTCCTCTAATTCCCTGTCACCTCCAGTGTTGCGCTCCTAATCTGTTGGCATGGCTTGGCTCAGAGTGACTGGCAGTGGTGCAGTGGGCAGCAGCGTGTGCCAGTTAGCCCCTGGGAGTGATCATTGACACAGCATGGCCCTGCTCCAGCCCCCAGCCCCTCTGCGGACCTTGGCACCTGGTCGACAGGATATCTAGTCCTCCACCGGAGGTCCAGCTGTAGCCGCAAACTGGCTCCTGTCACTGGCTCGAACCTCTCTCGCCCACCCCACTCTCTCTCTCTTCTCTCTCTACCCCTCTTTGCATAGCCCCGGTGGCTTCAAAATAACTGCCTCTCTGTCTGTTTGCCTGCTCTGTCCTGAAGCCTGGAAGTAGAATATTTCTTCCTCTCTTGTGCTTCGAGACGGACGTTGATCATGGTATTTCTTCACTCGGGGAAAGGTGACAATGACAAAGTGCTGTTTTTAAAAGAACATACATCTTTCACAGTCTGCCCCTAAGAAGCAGCATCCCTATCCTGCTCTCTAACTGGAAATATCAGTGTAGTTTTGTCTGTGTAGAATACAGAGTAGTGACAGGGAAGTAAAGCCCAGTCTGCCTTGCACAGATCTGTCATTATTTATTGACCATAAATCCCTGGGAGCCTCTCTCAGGCCTACTGTCTGGTAGGAGGAATACAGAGGGGAGACAAGTTGGATTTAAGGCAGACACAATGTACCTAGACAAGCGACCAGCTCACCTGGGAAATGCCACTCTTATGTCCACACATGAAAATGCATGGCCATGTACAGGGAGGAGGATCACTGAAGATTTACTGACATAGGTGTCATGAGATGTAAAGGCTGAATTTTATTCATCACATGCTTCGTAAAACAACAGGCGTAGACTAACAGTGAAATGCTAATTTACGGGCTCTTCCCAACAATGAAGAGAAAGAACATAGATAAATAATAGAAAAGTAATAACACGTGATAATAAAAGTAATAATAAATACACAATGAGTAACGATAACTTGGCTATATACACAGGGTACCAGTACTGAGTCGATGTGCAGGAGTACGAGGTAATTGAGGTAGATGTGTACATATAACTAGGAATACAGTGGCTAGGCAACAAGATATATAATAAACAATGTGATGAGTAAAAAAAAGTTTGTGCAAAAAGGGTCAATGCAGATAGTCCAGATAGCTATTTGGTTAACTATTTAGCTAACTATTTAGAAGTATTATGGCTTGGGGGTAGAAGCTGTTCAGGGTCCTGTTGGTTCCAAACTTGGTGCATCAGTACTGCTTGCCGTGTGGTAGCAGAGAGTAGCAGAGAGAACACTCTCTGCTAAACAGTCCCACAGCCAGCCAGCATGGAGATGGCTGGAACACAACACAACAGAACAGAGTCTGCTCCCAAACAGAATGAGGCACACTGAGCACAGACATCTGGCTGGGAATCTATCTTTATATCTCTAATTAAAGAGATCATAAAAAGTGGAATCAACATCATAGTTAGAGTTCTATGGCTTCAACATACTGCTTAGCTCTCGAAAGTGCCAATACATCTTGTTTGTAAAGCTGAGTAAATATGGCCATGTGGTGAGTGATGCCACAAGGCAAACACAAGCTCTGTGTTGGCCAACAAACTTTGTCACAAATCAGTAGTATCTGTAGTATTTGTGTTTGGATGTGTATTGTATGTGTTTGTGCCTGATTGGAACGCTGCCCTCTGCTGACTGAAATGGAGTATAACACAGAGTAGAAAGCACTTCTCAGCGACTCCACTATATACAGTGAGGGAAAAAAGTATTTGATCCCCTGCTGATTTTGTATGTTTGCCCACTGACAAAGAAATTATCAGTCTATAATTTTAATGGTAGGTTTATTTGAACAGTGAGAGACAGAATAACAACAACAAAATTCAGAAAAACGCATGTCAAAAATTGAATAAGTATTTTTTTTTACACATTTACACTTGAATACATTTCCATCTCTGATTTCCATTTCATTACATTCTGCTTTGTTTCTGCATCCCCCCCCCCCCGTCTCTCTCTGGTGTCAGGTCTAACTGGCTGAAGCCATGCTGTGGGCGAAGGGCAGCCCTATGGCAGGTGTGTCTGCTGAGCGCAGGCTTCAACTGTTTCCTGGTGGCCTGTGTCATCCTGGTGGTGGTGCTGCTGTGTCTGGAGCTGCTCATCGACACCAAGCTCCTGCAGTGTGAGTGACCCTGGACCTGTCTCTGTATTAGAACCTGGATCTAGGCTTATAGATACATGAACATTTGAGTAACGTGCACATATCTTCAATTGTGGTTCCACCCTTAGTGAAGTTAATACACACAAAACAGCTGTGGAATTTGTGGTCATTTGGAATTTACAGAAATGCACATCTGTTGTTAGGAATGTAGCTAATATTGGCACTAGGCCTGTTGTATAATAGAGTATGATTATGCAGTGACAGTGACAGGTCCAGGACCTGGGGCTGTGATCTCGCCTCTCTATAATATCAGCATCATTAGTATTCCTCAGTAAACAGTGTCAGGTGGTCTAATGCCACTGTGACCAATAGCACATGGAGATGACCTCATCTGCATGATCTGGAGGTGGGTGTCCTCATCTTTCATGGGTTATGGTCAGGAGTCCCCACTTCTGTGGTGTCACAAGCTCTATGAAGGATGGTAGGGCTATATGGGTTACAGGTCAATGTGGATGTATCTTAATGCTTCCAAGTCTTAACAAGTCCCTGGAGGCAGATTGAAGAGAGGGGATGGTTGGGAGGTAAAGAAAGACAAATGCATAGAGGGAGATTAGTGGGCAAATAAATGGGGAGATAGAGGGTGTCTGTCTGCTGGGTGAATGTACGGAGCGAGGGAGGGATGGAGGAAGATGAATGGACTGATGGACAGATCAGTGAGCACAGCAAATAAAGACAGAAGGGAAGTGGCGCTTGAAGAGGAATGCTGTAGCTGACAGCCCAATGTAGTACGATGCTGGCCACGAAGACAAACCTGTGCATGCATTTCTTTGCCTATATAATATATACAGTATATATATGCCATTTAACAGACGCTTTTATGTATGAGCGGACCTGGGAATCAAACACACTATCCTGGTATTACAATGGCCATGCGCTACACACTGAGCTATGGAGGGCTATGTGTCTGTGCTTGGGTCTGTCTCCAGTATTTAACAAATGAGCTGAACCGTGAGTAAACTAGTCATTTCTAAACATTGTCTATGCTGTGCTGTCTTCACAGTTAACAACGCGTTCCAGTTTGCCAGCATCATCCACTGGATCAGCCTGGTCATTCTATCTGTGTTCTTCACTGAGGTGAGCCCCTCTCCCTCTCTCTCTCCCCCACAGTCACAACAGTGGTAGCAGGCTCACTTAAAGCTGATGCAGCTGAGGGTTGATTTAATGCTATAGTGTGCAGTAGGAGACAAAGGTGAGCTAGAGAGGTGCAGTGGTATTAAGCCCTGCCCTTTCCCCCATCAACACATTATTGACTAATTAGGGTATTGGTAAATGGACTCTATTGGTCCATCACATACAGTATATTGTCAAATGTAAACACAGCTGTTTCATTTGCTCCTAATGTTTGTTCACAGCATTACAGCCTCCACTATCTCACTCATTCTGATACTATTTCCCTTCAAAACTTGCTGAGTGTTAATACCTCTTTATGTATTGTGTTTCCTCAACACAATCAATTTGATCTAAAATGCAGATAGAGCTTTTCTGTTGCACCGTAGCTTTTAACTAACGCCAGAGCCTCATTGATTACAGTTTCCTCAGGCCTAGCAGCATTTATCTTAGTTGTTCTCTGTTCACCGGTCTGCTGCTCCATTTGGTTGAGAAACAGTATGTGTTTTAGTTATTGATGAAAGCTAACCCTTAGTGATTCATGTACGTATTGGATGTGGCAGGACAGCCTCTGCTCAGGTGGAATCCTGAATATGTAAAAAGAGGGGAGAGGAGTGTAGTGGCCTTCTGCAGCCCTTGCTGAGTCAGCTGTAGCTGGTGCAGGGTGCAGTGTGTGTCTCTAATTGTTTGGAGGAAATCTGACCGCTGTGGTAGTGAACTGTAGGAATATGCCATTGATGAATTGCCAGTGGATAGATGAAAGAAAACTGCAATTCACTTTTGCTGAGACGTTAGGATTTTTAGGGGTGTGTTTACAACTATGGAAATTAATGATATCGCTATGGTTCTCTTCCCCACTCCTTTTTACCCTACCTCCCCCACTCTCTCTATCTCCCTCCCCACTCTCCCTTTCTCTCTCTCAGACGGTGTTCAGGATTGTGGTGCTGGGGATCTGGGATTACATTGAGAACAAAGTGGAGGTAAGCTCCCTGGGGGGCCATTAGTCCTGAGGTGGGGTTCAGAGCACCCCACCACTTCCACTGCAATGTCATTCTCCCAATGTCAGACCTGTGGGAAATCACCCACAGGCCTGGAGGAATATACTGTAATGGAGTACTCACTGAAATGTGGTCATTCAAATATTGTTGAAAAATGGACGTTTCCATTGTCTGCTTGCTAATATCTTTGTTTGTGTGTAGTGCGTACCTAACTGTCTGTGTGTGTGAATGCGTGTGTGTGCTGGTGCATGTGTCCGTGTGTGTGTAGGTGTTTGACGGTGCAGTCATAGTCCTGTCCCTGGCCCCCATGGTGGCCTCAACGGTGGCCAATGGCCCCAGCAGCCCCTGGGACGCCATCGGCCTCATCATCACCATGCGCATCTGGAGGGTCAAGAGGATCATCGATGGTGAGGCTGGGAGGGCCTGGGGGTAGATGGATGGGGTGCAGGGGGTGTATGTCTCCTCTGTATCATGTCCTTAACTGTCAGGTTGCAGAGATGCGACAACAATATTTCTGCAGCTCCACCCCTATGGATGTCATTATCCTAACTGGCTTTTTACTGAGCTTTACGGAAAATGTTTTGCCATGCTTATTACCAACCACAATCAATACTTGCTTTACAACACAATGACGAATACATGCATAATCTGATACAGATACACACAGATCTTGTACTGTTTCTTGACTCTGAGCTGTTTTCAATCAATGTTACGCCCTCTTGTGGAAGTTCCATGTTTCACATGCAAACACACTAATTTAAGACAGGAAATTAAGCCAGGTTAAACAAAAATAGTACTGATCATAATCCCTCTTATGTGGCCTACTACGGATATATAAAGTTATGTCAGTGTGACTGAGTTTATCCCTACAAAGCGGTCTCTATAACAGTCTGTCCTGTGTTCTGTCCCAGCCTATGTGCTGCAGGTGAAGGTGGAGATGGAGATGGAGACCCAGCAATATGTGAAGGCCAAAGCTGTCAGGGAGGAGCAGCTGGAGAGACTCACTCAGATCTGCCAGGAGCAGGCAGTATGTTCACACACCTGTCTAACTAGTTACCATTGCCTGTCATACACACCTTGGACCAACAGAGGACAGCAACGTGCCATAAAGAAGAGATGTGCACTTCCAATACATTATGTGTAGATTTGAGAGAACATAATACATTCAAATTCACACACTTATAAGTGGAATAACCAAACCTTTAATCTGACAAACACTGAGTTGTGTCACACTGACCCTTGAACACATAAATACATTACATATCCTTAATAGGAGATACTATCAGGTTCTGTATTCAGTCATAATTCCCACGGGGGGCCAGTATGAAAAATGTATGCACTTACTAACTGTAAGTCGCTCTGGATAAGAGCGTCTGCTAAATGACTAAAATGTAAATGTAATAATGCGTCACAACATTCCTGTTATTCCCATCCTGGGATTTCCATTCAGGAAAATTATCCAGTCACATTTGTCCCGTCCCCCCGTCCCCCCTTCTCGCTCTTTCTCTCTCTACCTTCTCTCGCTCTCGCTCGCTCGCTCTCTCTCTCTCAGTTTGAGATCAGGCAGCTGCGGGCCCACCTGGCTCAACAGGACTTGGACCTGGTAGCAGAGCGAGAGGCTGCCATGCAGATACACCATGTGTGGGGCAAGCAGAACAGCAGCTTCCAGGAGGTGGATGGCCTGGCCCCTGGGGGCCCCGATCAACGCAGCCAGGCTAAAGCCAGGGAGGCAGCGGCCCCTGGAGGTACCACACCCTGATCCTATAACCCCACCATTTACTGAAGTATTACATCCGAGAACTGCAGATTGCCTCATCAAGATGACATTGTTATATCTCTATGGATTGCCTGCTGGCTGTGGTTTCTAACCAAAGAGGGTCTCTCTTGAAGCTAGGGGAATAGAGGGACGTTCTTGCCATGTCAGATCAGATTTTCCAGGCAAAGTGGTTGAATGAACAGAGTGCTCTGTGCTTTGGGTCATGTTTGTTAAACAGAGGTTGGCTTGGTTGAAAATATGTTCTCCGTTCACCTGGAAACCACAACAGACATCTAACAAACCACACCAGATTCCAGGGAGGATAGAATAGTAGATTACTGTACAAGGAAAATAATTTCCCTAGAACAGCAGCCTGACGAGAGGCCTAGCAGTGTGGGACCTCTGAGTCGTAGACCTCAGTGCTATGGGAGTGCTGTTTGAATGAGGACAAGATCCTCTATGTAAATATACACTCCCCTACGTATTTATTTGGACAGTGACACACTTGATGTATTTAGTCCCACCATTTGAAGGTGTCATAAGTATTTGGACAAATTCACTTAGTGTATTACATTTAGTCAAAAGTTTCGTATTTGGTCCCATATCCCTAGCCCGTAATAACTACATCAAGCTTGTAACTCTACAAACTTGTTGGAGGCATTTGTAGTTTTTTTGGTTGCATTTTGGATTACGTTGTGCCCAATATAAATTAATGGTAAATAATGTATTGTCATTTTGGAGTCACTTTTTTATTGTAAATAAGAATTTAATGTTTCTGAACACTTCTACATTATACTAACTGTAAGTCGCTCTGGATAAGAGCGTCTGCTAAATAACTAAAATGTAAATGTAATGTGGATGCTACCATGATTAAGGATAATAATGAATGAATCGTGAATCATGAGGAGTGAGAAAGTTACAGATGCACAAAGATCATGCTAACCTCTCACCATTACCATTAACGGGAGGATATCATTTTTGAGGGGGTATGATATTTATGCCTCTGTAACTTTCTCACTCATCATTATTCACAATTTATTCATTATTATCCGTAGTCATAGTAACATCCACATTAATGTAGAAGTGTTCAGAAACATATTATATTCTTTTTTACAATAAAAGTGACTCCAAAATGACACAATACATTATTTACCATTAATTTCTATTGGGCACAACGTAATCCGAAACACAACCAAAACAAACTGCAAGTTTGTAGAGTGATAAGCTTGATGTAGTCATTGCATGCTAGGAATATGGGACCAAATACAAAAATGTAGACCATTTTATACACTGTGTGAATTCTTCCAAATACTTATGACACCTTCAAATGGGGGGACTAGATACATAGTGCTTTCATTTCTAAATGTTAAAACAGATATGTATGAAAACACCCTAAAATAAAATGTGACATTCTGTACTGTTGCCTCATATAAAACATTTTATTTCAAATGCAAAATGCTGGAGCATGGAGCCAAATTTGCTTCACTGTCCAAATAAATACATAGGGGAGTGTACCTGTAAACAATACACCAAGAGATTGGTTTAATATGATGTCCCACCTTCGTATGATGACCATTGTATCTAACCTAGGCCGGGATTCAATCCGATCGTGGATTATAGGCATTACTGCTTTTAAAGGTTATGAATTGTCAAAATCATGTTTTTCATAACATGTGATGATATTTGAAGGAAACCAGATCAAAGTATGACTAATGACTGTTGCTTCTACATTGATAAAGTTTGATCATAAAGTTACTGGTCCTCTCCCCATGTCAAACACTTGGATTAATTTTTAAGTGGACAAGGTGACATCACCTTAATTTCATTTTAATACACCAAAGGTAAAATGATATTCTCTTACCTAATTTAAATAAGTACCGCCAAGTAACCAACATCGTAAAAAGTGTGTTTACAGCTGGGTGTGGTTTATATAGCTAGATAGCTACTCTACTTGTGCCAAAATTTGACTGTAGGGTGTCAGCAAATATCATTAAAAGTTTACCCTGTTCATCTATGGCAAAGATACTTATGGTTCCCCTTTAATCTGTGTCTGGTGTTAGCTAGTTACTGGCTAGCTAGGTCTTCAGCCAGCATGGAACAAAAGGGGGGAATGGTCGTTCAAAACTCTGACGCAGTTGTCATGTCAACACATCCGTCATTGCTGCTGTGAACTGCATCACAAGAGACATGTCAAACGGGAATGTATGGGGCCTCCCGAGTGGCACAGCGGTCTAAGGCACTGCATTGCAGTGTTAGCGGCGTCACTACAGACCCTGGTTCAATCCCGGGCTCTGTCGCAGCCGGCCGCGACCAGGAGACCCATGAGGCAGCGCACAATTGGCTCAGCATCGTCTGGGTTAGGGGAAGGTTTGGCGGGCTGGTATGTCCTTGTCCCATCGCGCTCTAGCAACTCCTTGTGGCGAGCCAGGTGCATGCACGCTGACTTCAGTTGCCGGCTGTACGGTGTTTCCTCTGACACATTGGTGCGGCTGGCTTCCGGGTTAAGCGAGCAGTGTGTCAAGAAGCAGTGCGGCTTAGCAGGGTCGTGTTTCCGAGTACGCATGGCTCTCGACCTTCGCCTCTCCCAAGTCCGTACAGGAGTTGCAGCGACGGGACAAGACTGGGGGTAATAAATAAAAACAGGAATGTATTTTTAAATTTTTTGTTTCAGTTGCTTTGTGTATCAACAAATTTGCTTGATGATTTTACTGCAGCACTGCTCACTGCATCCAAGTTGCTTGACATAGGCATTTCAAAGAGCTGTCAGTCTAGGCGAGCTCATGAATATAAGCTCCCTGCTCACTCAGCCTGTCTCTTCAAACTTCCTGGTAGTCAGCCATGAGAGAAAATGTACTTTTCAATCAATCCTATTAGCCAATCTTCAATCATTTGAGAATAAATTGGATGACCTAAGATTATGGTTATCCTACCAACGGGACATTAAAAACTGTAATATCTTATGTTTCACCGAGTCGTGACTGAACAACAACATGGACAACATACAGCTAGCGGGCTATACGCTACATCGGCAGGATAGAACGGCTGACTCCGGTAAGACAAGGGGTGGTGGTCTGTGTATATTTGTAAACAACAGCTGGTGCACAAAATCCAATACTAAGGAAGTCTTGAGGTTTTGCTCGCCTGAGGTAGAGTATCTTATGCTAAGCTGTAGACCACACTATTTACCAAGAGAGTTTTCATCTATATTTTTCATAGCTGTCTATTTACCACCACAAACCAATGCTGGCATTAAGATTGCACTGAATGAGCTGTATAGGCCATAAGTGAACAGGAAAACGCTCATCCAGGGGCAGCACTCCTAGTGGCCGGGGACTTTAATGCAGGGAAACTTAAATCCGTTCTACCTCATTTCTACCAGCATGTTAAATGTGCAACCAGAAGAAAAAAAACTCCAGACCACCTTTACTCCACACACAGAGACGCATACAAAGCTCTCCCTCGCCCTCCATTTGGAAAATCTGACCATAACTCTATCCTCCTGGTTCCTGCTTATAAGCAAAAACTAAAGCAGGAAGCACCAGTGACTCGGTTAATAAAAAAGTGGTCAGATGACGCAGATGCTAAGCTACAGGACTGTTTTGCTAGCACAGACTGGAACATGTTCCGGGATTCTTCAGATAGCATTGAGGAGTACACCACATCAGTCACTGGCTTCATCAATAAGTGCATCGATGATGTCGTCCCCACAGTGACCGTACGTACATACCCCAACCAGAAGCCATGGATTACAGGAAACATCCGCACTGAGCTAAAGGGTAGAGCTGCCGCTTTCAAGGAGCGGGACTCTAACCCGGACGCTTATAAGAGATCCCACTATGCCCTCCGACGAACCATCAAAGAGTCAATACAGGACTAAGATTGAATCGTACTACACCGGCTCTGACGCTCGTCGGATGTGGCAGGGCTTGGAAAACTATTACAGACTACAAAGGGAAGCACAGCCGCGAGCTGCCCAGTGACACAAGACTTCCAGACGAGCTAAACCACCTCTATGCTCGTTTCGAGGCAAGCAACACTGAAGCATGCATGAGAGCGCCAGCTGTTCCGGATGACTATGTGATCACGCTCTCCGTAGCCGATGTGAGTAAGACTTTTAAGCAGGTCAACATTCACAAGGTCGCAGGGCCAGACGGATTACCAGGACGTGTACTCCCAGCATGTGCTGACCAACTGGCAAGTGTCTTCACTGACATTTTCAACATGTCCCTGACTGAGTCTGTAATATCAACATGTTTCAAGCAGACCACCATAGTCCCCGTGCCCAAGGACACTAAGATAACCTGCCTAAATGACTACCGACCCGTAGCACTGACGTCTGTAGCCATGAAGTGCTTTGAAAGGCTGGTCGTGGCTCACATCAACACCATTATCCCAGAAACCCTAGACCCACTCCAATTTGCATACCGCCCCAACAGATCCACAGATGATGCAATTTCCATTGCACTCCACACTGCCCTTTCCCACCTGGACAAGAGGAACACCTACGTGAGAATGCTATTCATTGACTACAGCTCAGCATTCAACACCATAGTGCCCTCAAAGCTCATCACTAAGCTAAGGATCCTGGGGGGTCGCCCCCAGGTGGTAAGGGTAGGTAACAACACATCTGCCACACTGATCCTCAACACGGGGGCCCCTCAGGGGTGCGTGCTCAGTCCCCTCCTGTACTCCCTGTTCACCCATGACTGCATGGCCAGGCACGACTCCAACACCATCATTAAGTTTGCCGACGACACAACAGTGGTAGGCCTGATCACCGACAACGATGAGACAGCCTATAGGGAGGAGGTCAGAGACCTGGCCGTGTGGTGCCAGGATAACAACCTCTCCCTGAACGTGACCAAGACAAAGGAGATGATTGTGGACTACAGGAAAAAAAGAGGACTGAGCACACCCCCATTCTCATTGACGGGGCTGTAGTGGAACAGATTGAGAGCTTCAAGTTCCTTGGTGTCCACATCACCAACGAACTATCATGGTCCAAACACACCAAGACAGTCGTGAAGAGGGCACGACAAAGCCTATTCCCCCTCAGGAGACTGAAAAAGATTTGGCATGGGTCCTCAGATCCTCAAAAACTTCTACAGCTGCACCATCGAGAGCATCCTGACTGGTTGCATCACCGCCTGGTATGGCAACTGCCTCCGACCGCAAGACACTACAGAGGGTAGTGCGTACGGCCCAGTACATCACTGGGGCCAAGCTTCCTGCCATCCAGGACCTCTATACCAGGCGGTGTCAGAGGAAGGCCCTCAAAATTGTCAAAGACTCCAGCCACCCTAGTCATAGACTGTTCTCTCTGCTACCGCACGGCAAGCGGTACCGGAGTGCCAAGTCTAGGTCCAAAAGACTTCTCAACAGCTTCTACCCCCAAGCCATAAGACTCCTGAACAGCTAATCATAGCTACCCGGACTATTTGCACTGCCCCCCCACCCCCCACCCCATCTTTTTACGCTGCTGCTACTCTGTTAATTATTTATGCATAGTCACTTTAACTCTACCCACATGTACATATTACTTCAACTACCTCAACTAGCCGGTGCCCCCGCACATTGACTCTGCACCGGTACCCCCCTGTATATATAGCCTCCCTACTGTTATTTTATTTTACTTCTGCTCTTTTTTTCTCAACACTTTTTTGTTGTTTTATTTTACTTTTTAATTTAAAATAAATGCACTGTTGGTTAAGGGCTGTAAGTAAGCATTTCACTGTAAATTTGATTTGATTTGCTATATATCTGAGATGAGATATCTGAGGTTTCACTACAGCCTTTTAAGTGGGCCTGCTCCTCATATGTTCATGTGTTATTAATCACAGAGTGATTGTCTATGACGCCACATTTTAGTCCGAGCATCCCCTGCCTTCTTGGGACAGTTTTAAAATTAATATTTGAAGAAGAAACATAAATAAACCCATCTATCTAGCGGTCCTGAAGGAATATGGATGGTACTTAGAGGTTAACTGTGACAGGTCAGGGGTGCCAGCCACAGCCACAGGCCCTTCTACCCACCACCTCACCTCTTTTTACATTCCTTGCTTTGCTCCTATGGGTTCAACCTTCTGGTCAGGAATATCTGACTGATGCATTCTGGGAGATCTTTACAGAACAGATTTTCAAAATCTCTATTAGATAAGGGTACCAAACATCCAACTCATTCTATTGTTTCTGAGAAAGAGTACATACCTAGTTTGTTTCTTATTTCTTTCAGATCATGTTGTTCAAGATGACATGAACAACTACATCAGCCAGTACTACAGTGAGGCAAGCAGTGGTAAGAATAAACAATTGTCTACACCCTCACAGGTTTGTTTGTGTACTTTGCTTTGCGGACAGTCAGCAGGATCATGTGTTGAGTCCAAGTTGTATGTGATTCTTGTAGATGTTGGGATCCCAGACCCAGCTCGTGTCATCACCACTGCAGCCATAGACGTGCACCTGCCCAACAACCCCAGCCAGCTGCCCTCATCTCTGGTGAGTGCAGATGCAGTGTCCAGCCGTCTGCAGCGGACGGGCAGCTCCGTGAGCGAGGCCTCCAACACCACCGTGTCCCGCTCCCGCTCCAGCTTCAGCGCCCACCAGCACAGCATCAGCAGCCACACCCTGGGCTCCACCACCGACTGCAGCTCCACCGTCCGCGAGGCTTCCACCTCCACAGACTCCTACAGCGGCCAGCGCTGTTACCCCCCGCCCTACTGCAGCCCCCTGGCCCTGGGCTTGGGCACACAGCCTGGCCCCAGAGGACACCCCAGCGCCGTGGTGCAGGAGCTGCTCTCCTCCCTGTCTGATGATTCCTGTCTGGGCCAAAAGGGCTTGGACCCTGTCAACCTCAAACTGCCCAGTCCTGCTGGCTCCACCAAAACTAGTCCTGAGCTGGAGCACAGGCTCAACATCTACAACAAGAGGAACCAGGAGAGCCGCGGAGGCTTCCACACCAAGCCCCTCATCCACCTGCAGGCCAGGGAGCCTTTCATGGAGGAGAAGTACAGGCTATCTCAGGCAGATGCCCCTGTCAGCCGTCTGCCTGAGACATAGGAAAGGGCTACAGGGGGTATTGTATCTCTTAGCCAGCACTGACTCACTCCTCAAAGACCCTCCTGAAACTCACTGACTAACACTAAAGATGAACTCAGAGCCATCCTCCTCATCGCCAAAGCACCTTGGAACTGTGAATGGCAGCTCTGCTAGCGCAGCACATCATCCATTGAGGACAGGGAAACGTGCTTTAGGCACTGAACATCTATCAGGAATTGCCACAATAAATGAGTATATGGAGTCACCAAAAGAAACCAGCATTGGGGCATTAGCCCGAGCTCTGAGACAGCAGGGATCTGCAGAAATGTGACTGGCTGATGCTTTTGAATGTGATATCATTTAGTGATGGGGCTGGGTATGTGTGGGTGGAACTGGGTGCTTTGTTTGTCTGATATACTTGCTTAGGGATTGGCGACAGTAGACTGATCACAAGACAACTACTAATTGGCAATCATATTATGATGTATGAGCCACACTAAACAGATATTTTACAAACAAACCATACTGAAAGTCAACCTGGAGTCTCCAGACCCCAACATTAAGTACAGTCCTCTCTGATCGGACTACTGCAGGGTACATTTGATCTGTGTTCTAATGTGTTGAGCTCAGCTTATTTCTTACCTTTGTCTTTCTACATTATCTATGCTAAAGTTTGTATTCAAATTATATTACAAAATATTTTTAAGCCAGACACGTGAGCGACTGAGGGACGTTTCAGCTACCAAATCTCGAGGGGTTTGTAATTGAAGATGTGTAAAGTGTTGGTCAGAAGAAAAAGTATTATAGCATGAACCTTTAAAAATATCTGCTTTTAGACATGGCAAACTAATCCTGCGCACTTGAATGTCAACAGGCATTTTGTAAATTGATCATGAAGGGAATTCAGTGCAGAGTAAAAGCAATTAAAAGGCAAACATGGTAAAATAACAGTCATTTACAGTCAGTTTTATCATTGATACCAAGAGCCTTTGGTGAGCTACACATGAATAAAAGTGAATTAGTGAGGAGGAAGGTTTAGACTTCCCGAAGATTACCTTTATTGTGACGCTACGTTAAATACACGTTACAAAATATGCACTAATAGGGAGAAAAAAATATCACCTACATCAGGTAAGCCAAACGTTACTGGTGGCATATCATACCTACGTACATAAAAACAGAAGTCCGGTTTATAAACTGAGAGTGTTGTTCTGTTTCCATTTAGGAAGAAGGATGATAACATTATTAGTGTTCCCAGAAGACTAGCTCCAGAAACAGTTTAAGGCAGAGATTGTAGGAGAGTTGTAACTGTGTGGTCTTGGTACCCAGGTAGTGATGGGATGGCTGCTTAGCTGAATGTTGGCTCACTTGCTCAACGCTGCAGTCATCTCAGGGACAGCCTAGTGAGACAAAGACAAAACAGTAGCTTAAGATGGTTGCACCCCCTAACCGGGCATATCTAGCAAGGTTGACACAATGGACATGGTGTGTGCTTGCAACATGGAAATGGAAGGTTGAGCTTTTAGATAAATGTAAGTGTTTAGTCTCACGGTTTGGGGTGACACCATTTAAGATCAATTCATTCAAACCAATTCAAATCTGAGAGTAACTGATTTAAGGGACATGAGCAGGGTTGTCTGATGAATGACATACTGACAAACTATATCAGTAGCACACGAGTCTAATGTGTCCCACAGATCAGTTTTCAATTGAAGGAAGAGGAGAAAGCCCATATATTTTAATCAGTTATCTGAGGAGTGATCAACTCTGCTGCCACAAGCTATTATTACCAATCACTTTTACAGAGTTTACCCAGAACACCTGGGCCTCTCACGCACCACCACCGCCATAGTAAAGAAAAGATGAACAACAGGACACACACATTAAAATAAATGCTACTACACTTTCACTGAAAGCACAGGCCCTCTTGTTCAAGAGTGTGCCAACCCTCTGGCACACATGTGCCAGCCAGACACTAGAAGGCAGCTAAGCATGTAAAGTCCTGGCACTAGGGAAGAGAAAATAAAACCGGAGAACTTATGGTTTGAAGGAACGCTGTTGTATCTCTACACAGCAGCAAGCTCAGACCACAACTCACCTCTGATTAATTCAGCACCTCAATAATTCAACACATTTCCATTAGGTGGAATAATAATGGTTCTTGCAACATTGATCAGGGAAATGGTGAATGTAATATTCCGACTGTCACAGTTGTCATGTCTTGGTTATTGAAATGCCGGTGTCTTGCTGATCAGCTATTCATGGCAAGAGTGTTTGGTAATGTTTCCTCATGGGTGAATATTCCTCCAACACAGTCGGCCTGCTATCTCACCTTGAACAGATCAGCCACCAGACCATAGTCAGCCACCTGGAAGATGGGAGCCTCTGGGTCCTTGTTGATGGCAACAATAGTCTGTAGAGCAAAGGAAAATGTGTTTCATAATAATGCTGCATGCCTATTCTGTATACATGATAGAACATTCTGGTATAAAGGGACAGGGAAGAAACAAGCAAGAATGCTAACTGTACTGTACCTTGCTGTCCTTCATCCCAGCCAGATGCTGAATAGCTCCAGAGATACCAACAGCGATGTACAATTCCTGCAGAGAGAACAAGATGACAAACAAGCTGTATCAGCATAATACAAGCGCTTGGTGCACAGCCACATCTATGTAGTCCCAGTTGTTTCAGGCTGCTGAACACAGGTAAGACACCTTATTGCAGGAATGCTGCAACTGACTCAATACCGGTAGTATAATATGTGGGCCTACAATATTTATTGAATAACTTTTTTTCCATCAATCTCCAGAAAACCATCATAACACCACTAAGGCCGTCATTGGCACCCTAGTACAGATGCAGCTGATTGCAGGACAGTTCTGGGTTTCCTTAGAGTATGGGGTTGTTCTAGTGCTGACCCTGACCAAGGCTGTGTAATCTCTCAGAGGGAGAGTGCTGGGGGGTGGTGTAGCAGAGTGTAGGACCCTCCAAGCATCCACCTCACCTATGGGAAAAACACATCAGAGGCTTTCAGCTTAATGCACTGCCATATGAATATTTCAGTGCTACTTAATGTTATTGGAGTAGTCTCAGAGGAGCAGAACATCAATTTATGATGTTCTAGTCTGCCAACGACTAGAAGTGAGGACCGATATTTCACAATGAGAGGCACTGTCCTGTCCAGCAAGTGTACTGTCCTTGCAGAGATAAAATGACCACAAAACATGGTGTATGTTGTAGTTCTCAAGTATCACTGTATGGAAAGATCAGAGTACATACAAAAAGACGAAAATAAAAAAACTAAAACAAGAAGGTACTAGCAAGAGTCCAATGTCTAGCCTATTTGGAGAATCTTCTCAGAGTTCTTCTCTTTATGCTCTTTTAGCAGCTTTGTATGTTCAATTAGAAGGCCAGACAGGGCCACCTGCTGTTGTGTTGCTAAAATAGCATTAAGCGCTGTTTCAGCCTACTATTTCACACCCAGCTTTCCCTCAGGTGTGAAAGCAACTCCCTGCATGCAACATGATTGTATTGCTAGCTAGTCGTTCAAGTGTGGTGATGCTATTGTTATCCGATAAAAACAACAAAAGACCGCAACATGACAACCTGGCTGCTCCGTTGCCAAGCTGTTCCCCGAATGTGGTACTCGCCTGAAACGTTGCTCAGGCATGACACCCACAGCTTAGATTACATAAACAATACAATGGCACACTGTCTGTAAACGTCAGGACAGTAGGGTGAAGACAGTCTTATAAAGAGTTTAGGCTACTGAATGCTAATGTGACGATCCTTTGATATACATAAATATGCAAAAGCTAAACTGTGAAATACATGCTGACATCTGTGATGTGAGATTCTTTCAAATTTCATTAAGTTAATTTCAGCAAAACTATAACTGGAGCAGTTCAATACTGGATAGAACTACTATTTAAAGCCTGCAAATAGTTGATTCGCTAAATATTCATTCTGTCAAAAGCGGTTCATTCAAATACACATAACAAGAAGGAACACAGTTTTGTGCTATTCAAGGGGACATTTGTCAAATAAAAAAGATGTCAGACAGTCAGTCACACTGATATGACATGCATGGTTCTTCTGTCCTAACAATGCCTGAAGGTAGCGATCAAAAATGAACATCTAATACTTGAATCCTCTGAATGGTTTGCATGAGGACTATGAACAACTGACTGACAAATATGAAGAGGATAAAAATACTGCCATTCAAATGTTATTGAATACATTAAAGCTGGAATCCGTAATGGTGAAACTGCCACGTCCGTTTGCGATATTACAACAACAATGAAGTTATTTCAAACAACGATCCCTCAGACATCATTGCATAAGCGATAGAACAGCACTAAGTATGTACTGCAAAAAATGTTTACCATGATGCTGGATGCTCCTCTCCTCCGTTTCATAAACTAAACAAAAACAATAAATGTGCTGGAACGAACATTGGCCCTTACGCGGATTTCAGCTTTTAGCCCACATTTGACAAGCTTCTCAAAACATTAGCAAAATCCAATTTGGGCAGAATGGCCTGGTCTGTGGCTCTGAGCAGATACCCACTGCACTGTGCTGTGCTGTCCTCTGCTCTCTAATGGATCAGCTAAATCATTTAGGAGCATAAATGTGCCATTAACTACATTTCAAATGTGTGGATAATCACAGCTGGGATATCCCATTTGAATCGGATAATGGGAATTTAACCTTTTTAAAAGGGCAAAGGGATCCATCTTTAGAACATTAAATTCCAGGAATTGTGTTTGCATCTAAAGTCACAGGCCTTTGTCAAGCTGCGGGCAACTTGCACAATAGTCAATACTGGGTGGGTAACTCCGCAGAAAATATATCTTCACATTTTCAGAACTATTTCTTTGTAAGTATACACACATGTTTCTACAAAAGGTTTATCTTGAATAATTGTGCAATATTATTACAGATGACACCATTGTGAGCACAACATTGCCTATCAAAGAATAGGATGAATGTTAAATTATTCAGAGTTTGTCACTTACAGGGGCCACAATCTTGCCAGTCTGTCCAACCTGCATGTCATTGGGGACATATCCAGCATCCACAGCAGCTCTGGAAGCACCAACTGTGGGGAGAATCAATTGAAACCTACTTTACTGCTGTCAATCAAATTATTTCACCAATATTTTAAAGTTATACCGTATAAAAAAAATAATTCACGACAACTATGATGGAAACAGGAAGATTCAGCACAATTGTATAAATGCAGACAGATCATTTGTTCGTTTGACATGGTGGGATCTTTTTGTGTCTGTAAAATGTATTATGCGAGAAATGGCGGTGCCTTTTGCGCAAATATTGATATCCAGTGGGGGAAAAAAGTATTTAGTCAGCCACCAATTGTGCAAGTTCTCCCACTTAAAAAGATGAGAGAGGCCTGTAATTTTCATCATAGGTACACGGCAACTATGACAGACAAAATGAGAAAAAAAATTCCAGAAAATCACATTGTAGGATTTTTTATGAATTTATTTGCAAATTATGGTGGAAAATAACTATTTGGTCAATAACAAAAGTTTCTCAATACTTTGTTATATACCCTTTGTTGGCAATGACACAGGTCAAACGTTTTCTGTAAGTCTTCACAAGGTTTTCACACACTGTTGCTGGTATTTTGCCCATTCCTCCATGCAGATCTCCTCTAGAGCAGTGATGTTTTGGGGCTGTCGCTGGGCAACACGGACTTTCAACTCCCTCCAAAGATTTTCTTTGGGGTTGAGATCTGGAGACTGGCTAGGCCACTCCAGGACCTTGAAATGCTTCTTACGAAGCCACTCCTTCGTTGTCCGGGCGGTGTGTTTGGGATCATTGTCATGCTGAAAGACCCAGCCACGTTTCATCTTCAATGCCCTTGCTGATGGAAGGAGGTTTTCACTCAAAATCTCACGATACATGGCCCCATTCATTCTTTCCTTTACACAGATCAGTCGTCCTGGTCCCTTTGCAGAAAAACAGCCCCAAAGCATGATGTTTCCACCCCCATGCTTCACAGTAGGTATGGTGTTCTTTGGATGCAACTCAGCATTCTTTGTCCTCCAAACACGACGAGTTGAGTTTTTACCAAAAAGTTCTATTTTGGTTTCATCTGACCATATGACATTCTCCCAATCCTCTTCTGGATCATCCAAATGCACTCTAGCAAACTTCAGACGGGCCTGGACATGTACTGGCTTAAGCAGGGGAACACGTCTGGCACTGCAGGATTTGAGTCCCTGGCGGCGTAGTATGTTACTGATGGTAGGCTTTGTTACTTTGGTCCCAGCTCTCTGCAGGTCATTCACTAGGTCCCCCCGTGTGGTTCTGGGATTTTTGCTCACCATTCTTGTGATCATTTTGACCCCACGGGGTGAGATCTTGCGTGGAGCCCCAGATCGAGGGAGATTATCAGTGGTCTTGTTTGTCTTCCATTTCCTAATAATTGCTCCCACAGTTGATTTCTTCAAACCAAGCTGCTTACCTATTGCAGATTCAGTCTTCCCAGCCTGGTGCAGGTCTACAATTTTGTTTCTGGTGTCCTTTGACAGCTCTTTGGTCTTGGCCATAGTGGAGTTTGGAGTGTGACTGTTTGAGGTTGTGGACAGGTGTCTTTTATACTGATAACAAGTTCAAACAGGTGCCATTAATACAGGTAACGAGTGGAGGACAGAGGAGTCTCTTAAAGAAGAAGTTACAGGTCTGTGAGAGCCAGAAATCTTGCTTGTTTGTAGGTGACCAAATACTTATTTTCCACCATAATTTGCAAATAAATCCATTAAAAATCCTACAATGTGATTTTCTGGATTTCTTTTTCTCCTTTTGTCTGTCATAGTTGACGTGTACCTATGATGAAAATTACAGGCCTCTCTCATCTTTTTAAGTGGGAGAACTTGCACAATTGGTGGCTGACTAAATACTTTTTTTCCCCACTGTATTCTTGCTGTTATCCATAATAATCTCATCATGTAGACTATACCCGCACAGCCTACCCGCACTGTATCTGCTAGCTGTTGGCTAGAGCGCACGGGCCAAGACCAGAGTAGGCACATTTGCTATTTAACGCAACCGTTTTTGTGACAAAACTATCTGTAGAATTGAAAATGTGTTAGAAACATATTAAACTTCAGATTTTTATGCGGTACATGAAAACGTAAGCGAAAAAGTGAATTTTGTGTGCACTACGTCATCACACACTGATTTCTATCCACAAAAAGTCAATTTGGTGGATTCTAGAGTATTTGCATGAAAATCTGTCGCCAATTGGATGAAAACCTAGCTACTTATACAAATACAGAACGTAATTTTTTTGGTCAACATTCAAAGACTCATTCTAATCACACACTTACCTGCGGCATTCATTTTGTCAGCAAGGTCATACAGCAGCTTGAAGTTGTCTCCACTCTTCAGGCCCCTTCCTAAAAGAAGGGCAAGACAATAGTGATTTCTTTAAACATTTGGCATACACATCAATTAATTTGTCAAGTAAAGGCAAATAGTATGAAGTAAGGTGGCTCTCACCTCCGGACACCACAACCTTAGCACTGGTCAGCTCTGGACGGTCACTCTTGGTCAAGGACGCTTCCAGCCACTCAGACATCCCAGCGGGAGCGGACGCAGCAACTGAAATAAACAAACAACAATGTGAGGAAACATCAGAGGATCATATTAAATAACAAAACTGCATCTCAAGGACAAACTGTCTCATGTCTTCTTACTTTTAACTATACCCTGACAAATATGTTATCCAGCCAGGAAATTAAACAATTGATTTTTGAATGATAAACAAGAACAATGGCTTTTGTATGTGTGCTTTTCAGGTGTGTATCAGTACATGGTTAGTACTGTAGCTACCTTCCTCTGATGTAGCACTGCCTCCCTCCACCTCAGCGGGCTCAAAGGATGTCCCTCTGACAGTGAAAACCTTGACATTTTCATTAGACTTGACAGTGCTGAGAGCATTTCCTGTGAATGAGACAAACAACAGTGATGTTTTGTAACTCTACCGAATGCAACTCTTTTGATGACAACTGGGAATTAAAATAGAGAATTTATTTCACACAGATAGTCTAATTTGGAATAAATCTTCTGGGCTCAAGGTACACCTATTTGGACATGACAAACAGCAAAGGTTGATTTATTCATAGCCCATTAGTGCAATTGAGAAATTAGGCTTTTGGGATCTAATCATAGCTGGTATTGCCAAAAGGCTGATTTAGCTATAGATTTACAAACAAACCGGTTCCCTATGGTACATGTAAGTATTGTGTACATGGAGAATTGGTGCGTTACTGGTGAAATTCGTAAGAGCAGTCCCACATCCAAATGATTTCCCATGATAATTTCAAACAAGATCCACATAGAGTACCAAAAAATGTCTAAAGCAGTCTAAACTGCATTGGTGATATATAATGTGCTCAAGAAATCTGAACGCCATCTTAGGTTGGCTTGGGGGGGAAACAATACGTACAAAAGTTCAAATGTACTGTATCTTCTCATAACACGTTCACAAAAAGCTAGTTACCAGCATAGATGGTTCTGACAAAGGTGTCAGGGGATTTGATCTCAATGATGTCTGAAATAGGAGCAACATCCAACTTGGCAGCCAGTCTGGGGAGCAGGTTCTACAAAAGACAGGATGGTAAATAAGCAGGGATATAAGGCAATCTGTAACGATCAGCCAAAGATGCCCTACAAATAACTTCCAGAAACCATGAATGAAAAATACAGCATACTGATAACAGCTATGTTTTTTTACACTAGCCTTATGAAACCAAATCCATTGTATGAAATCATCTGCAGGCAGACACCTTTGCTGAGGAGTGACAAATGACCTCACTGAATTATGAATATAAGGGTGTTATAATCTTACTTTCCCAAAGGCAGATGCCCCAGCACAGATATGGGTGAAGTTGAACTGCTTCTGGGTTGCCAGGATAAGTGGAGTCAACGCCTCTGTGGAAAGACATGCAAGTTGCAGTTAACACTACATGCAAATTGACCGAAAATAACCCTCAAATGTAACATACTAACTTTATATTTCAAGTAAGACACTGTAGAAGTAAAACTTCTTCCAACTCATTTACAGCTTCAGTGAATCTGTTTGCTGCATCTGCTTCACACTGTGGATATACATACCTGGCAGAGAGCCTTTGTAAGCATCATTTTGAGCAATCAAAACTGTCTTCACACCCAGGACTTTGCTGATTTCCTGTGCAACCTGAAAATATTATAAATATACAGCAAATCAATCCCTTGAAGAAAAAAAAACTAACAGGGTAGGTCTGGACATCCATTTTCAACAGGTTATTTGTCTGATGATCAAACCCATGATTTTAACTGACCTTTGTACAGTCTGTTCCAGCAACCAAACAGGACACATCTCCTCCCAGTTTCTTGGCTGCAGTGATAGCATTCAGAGTAATGGGGGTCAGCTTGTCATTGTTGTGTTCTGCCACCACTAAGGTGCTTTGAAACCTCTGGAGGAGACCAGACTACGGGGAAAAGGTATTTTCAATAAATAGGACATAACATAAACATAATAGTCAGCCCCGGGTCCTGGCCGTTCTGCCACCCTCCTCCTATCCCCACAAAACTAGAATAGTGTAGCCTACAGTGTCAGCCTGTAATGCAATTGTATGAATGCCCATCCATGTCGTACCGTCTGATTCATGACCATGGCTTAAGACTAGGCCTAATTATTTTGGCTATTTAATATCTGCATATCAGCTACCCAGGTTTATCAGGAGTTATTCTGAGTCTATTTGCAATGAGAATCAATGTGTTTACACAGCGGGAAATGCAGAAGTATTTTCTTCTTCGCTATGATCAGCTCGTCAAAAATGTATGAATAGGCCTACAGTTGAAATCAGTGGTTCATGACAATTTAGCCCACGGAGTGAAATTCCAGGACAGAAGTCGTGAGTAGCTTAATTTCATTCTATATTGTCCATTTTATTTTAACCTGTCCTGTTTTTAGGATATGGTGTTTGTTAACATGTTAAGTCATATTCAAATCGAAGTGCTTTTTCTTTTTGATAGGGTGCCATTTAGGCTATTTGATAGGAGACACGTGCATGATGTGAAAGATTGTGTCTCATAACATTGTCAGAAATATGATCTCCAGTCTAAGCTTCAGAAAAACCACATAGGCTACTACACTTTCTACTATGGTTACATCAAATCAAAAACAAAAAATGTCACATGCGCCGAATACAACAGGTGTAGACATTACCATGAAATATTTACTTACAAGCCCAACAATGCAGTTCAAGTACGAGTTAAGAAAATATTTACTAAATAAACTAAAGTAAAACAACATTTTTAAAAATACAATGTAACACAAAATAACAATAACGAGGCTATATACAGGGGGTACCGGTACTGAGTCAATGTGCGGGGGTACAGGTTAGTTGAGGTAATTTGTACATGTAGGTAGGGGTAAAGTGACTATGCATAGATGGGAGGGGGGGGGGGGTCAATGTAAATAGTCCGGGTGGCCATTTGATTAATTGTTCAGCAGTCTTATGGCTTGGGTGTAGAAGCTGTTAAGGAGCCTTTTGGTCTTAGACTTGGTGCTCCGGTACCGCTTGCCGTGCGGTAGCAGAGAGAACAGTCTATGACTTGGGTGACTGGAGTCTTGGACAATTTTTTTGTGCCTTCCTCTTACACCGCCTAGTATATAGGTCCTGGATGGCAGGAAGCTTGGCCCCAGTGATGTACTGGGCCGTACGCACTACCCTCTGTAGCGCCTTACGGTCAGATGCTGAGCAGTTGCCATACCAGGCGGTGATGCAACCGGTCAGGATGCTCTCGATCATGCAGCTGTAGAACCTTTTGAGGATCTGGGGACCCATGCCAAATCTTTTCAGTCTCCTGAGGGGGAAAAGGTGTTGTCGTGCCCTCTTCACGACTGTCTTGGTGTGTTTGGACCATGATAGTTTGTTTGTTATGTGGACACCAAGGAACTTGAAACTCTCGACCCGCTCCACTACAGCCCTGTCGATGTTAATGGGGGCCTGTTCAGCCCGCCTTTTCCTGTAGTCCACGATCAGCTCCTTTGTCTTGCTCACATTGAGGCAGAGGTTGTTGTCCTGGCAAGGTATTTGACCTCCTCCCTATAGGCTGTCTCATCGTTGTCTGTGATCAGGCCTACCACTGTTGTGTTGTCAGCAAACGTAATGATGGTGTTGGAGTCGTGTTTGGCCACCCAGTCATGGGTGTACATGATTTATGTTAGATGATTTGAGCGTTGGTGGAGAGCCGCAGCGCTGCGTCTATCCAACAGCACCCTGGAGATGCATGCTGGGTATGGACAAGATAAATATTTTGCGCCCCTGACAAAGTTGGCAATGCTTATCATGCGGCGGCATCAGCGCTCACCTAAATAGCCCATATGCCACTGGGTGAGAGAAGTTTTCATTGTTTTTGGGCAGAATTATGTGAGGTGTTATGTGTTGTTGGAGGTGCGTCTTGGTCAGTTTAGCTCGGAAAATGCCTCCCTCTTCAGGCTGCCGCCTAATCCTGCCTAATGGACGAATCGACCTTGATAACATGGCTCTAATGCCTATCAAACTTAAACACCCATGCTTAAAAGCTACTAATAATACGACAGCATTTTGGGTAGTCCTATAAAGAGCAAGGCAACATTAATATTGAGTTCATACCGGATACTACTGGTTCTGTTTAGGTGTAGCTTTTTGGGGAAAACAACATCTAGTGGGTTATTTATTGGAGGTAAGTTATAGCAGAAAGTGTGAGCTATAACACCACCTGATGGGAGGAGGGAGCTGTGAGAACCTTCAGTAAACAATGACATAACATCAGAGCTAAACATTGGCTTATACAACCTTTGACAGGGAGTATCAATCCTATCACCAAGCTAAAACATGACAGTCAGTACCAGCTGCTCTATCTGAACCTGTGTCTGAAAGGCAGTTTCTAGAGTAGAGGTCATTCACAGCAGTCTAGCCAACGTCACAGCACAATACAGGTTTAATAGATTTAGCATATATTAAATGATTGTCTTTATTGAAATGGTGCTTCAATGTCTTTAAAATCATTGCATGGCCATTTTTTTAGTTTCTTAAGTGATCGTTTACGAGGTTGCATAACTGCTAGCTATTTTCAGCTAGCTAAGGACGCTAGCTGTGCCATCAACTATGATCAGATGTTCAAACTGTGGCAATCGACTTTTTCATTTTTATGAATATAGCAAAGGAAATCAATGCCATTTTAACCTTGTTCTGTTTTCGTGCACTGTGCACTGCTAGCTAACATGCTAGCTTCCTTGCTAACATTAAGTGTCTATCAGGCACCAGCAACATTGTACTATTTGTGCTTATTTGCATTTGCCACATTGCGAATGAATAGCAAGTTACTTAGCTAGTTAATATAATATAATTATATGCGTCTATCGTGTACTTACCAACTGTTTGAAATGTGTTTTGTTGACAGCTCTATGCATCTTGGACCCTACTCTTCGATGCTGCCAATACTACTTTCCTAGAACGAACTATGACAGCTGTAGAATGTTCTCGCGAGACAAAACTATGGTTGGACTATAATCACTTCCGTTTTGGGTGGGAGCAGAATACAATTTTATTTCAGAGACTGTCATAGACGATTTCCACTAGTAGCTTCCATAGCCACAAAGTCAGATTCCACAGCTTCTTTTTGGTCTTAATTTAAGGTTAGGGTTAGGCATAAGGTTAGCAGTGTGGTTAAGGTTAGGGTTAGGTTTAAAATCAAAAGTTAAGAAGATAAATTGTAGAAATGACTTTGTGTCTATAGAAGCTAGTGACGACCGTGATAGACCCTGTCACCCTGCAGACCTTGGGTGCATGATGACTGGGTAGGTGTGTGTGAACAACAGGGGAAACTAGATAGGCCTACTATTATCAACAACAAAATCATTACGCATATCCATTTAATCCAGATCTGTAAACATACTCATTTAAATGAGTAGCCTGTGTGGCTACTAAGTTCTATGAGAAGAGTAAAGGGACCGACATGGAACCTGGAAATCAAATCAAATCAAATTTTGTTGGTCACATGCGCCGAATACAACAGGTGCAGACATTACAGTGAAATGCTTACTTACAGCCCTTAACCAACAGTGCATTTATTTTAAACAAAAAAAGTAAAAATAAAACAACAACAAAAAAAAAGTGTTGAGAAAAAAAAAGAGCAGAAGTAAAAAATAAAGTGACAGTAGGGAGGCTATATATACAGGGGGGTACCGTTGCAGAGTCAATGTGCGGGGGCACCGGCTAGTTGAGGTAGTTGAGGTAATATGTACATGTGGGTAGAGTTAAAGTGACTATGCATAAATACTTAACAGAGTAGCAGCAGCGTAAAAAGGATGGGGTGGGGGGGCAGTGCAAATAGTCCGGGTAGCCATGATTAGCTGTTCAGGAGTCTTATGGCTTGGGGGTAGAAGCTGTTGAGAAGTCTTTTGGACCTAGACTTGGCACTCCGGTACCGCTTGCCGTGCGGTAGCAGAGAGAACAGTCTATGACTAGGGTGGCTGGAGTCTTTGACAATTTTGAGGGCCTTCCTCTGACACCGCCTGGTATAGAGGTCCTGGATGGCAGGAAGCTTTGCCCCAGTGATGTACTGGGCCGTACGCACTACCCTCTGTAGTGCCTTGCGGTCGGAGGCCAAGCAGTTGCCATACCAGGCGGTGATGCAACCAGTCAGGATGCTCTCGATGGTGCAGCTGTAGAATTTTTTAAGGATCTGAGGACCCATGCCAAATCTTTTTAGTCTCCTGAGGGGGAATAGGCTTTGTCGTGCCCTCTTCATGACTGTCTTGGTGTGTTTGGACCATGATAGTTCGTTGGTGATGTGGACACCAAGGAACTTGAAGCTCTCAACCTGTTCCACTACAGCCCCGTCGATGAGAATGGGGGCGTGCTCAGTCCTCTTTTTTTTCCTGTAGTCCACAATCATCTCCTTTGTCTTGGTCACGTTGAGGGAGAGGTTGTTGTCCTGGCACCACACGGCCAGATCTCTGACCTCCTCCCTATAGGCTGTCTCATCGTTGTCGGTGATCAGGCCTACCACTGTTGTGTCGTCGGCAAACTTAATGATGGTGTTGGAGTCGTGCCTGGCCATGCAGTCATGGGTGAACAGAGAGTACAGGAGGGGACTGAGCACGCACCCCTGAGCGGCCCCCGTGTTGAGGATCAGTGTGGCAGATGTGTTGTTACCTACCCTTACCACCTGGGGGCAGCCCGTCAGGAAGTCCAGGATCCAGTTGCAGAGGGAGGTGTTTAGTCCCAGGATCCTTAGCTTAGTGATGAGCTTAGAGGGCACTATGGTGTTGAATGCTGAGCTGTAGTCAATTAATAGCATTCTCACGTAGGTGTTCCTCTTGTCCAGGTGGGAAAGGGCAGTGTGGAGTGCAATAGAGATTGCATCATCTGTGGATCTGTTGGGGCGGTATGCAAATTGGAGTGGGTCTAGGGTTTCTGGGATAATGCTGTTGATGTGAGCCATGACCAGCCTTTCAAAGCACTTCATGGCTACAGACGTCAGTGCTACGGGTCGGTAGTCATTTAGGCAGGTTATCTTAGAGTCCTTGGGCACGGGGACTATGGTGGTCTGCTTGAAACATGTTGGTATTACAGACTCAGTCAGGGACATGTTGAAAATGTCAGTGAAGACACTTGCCAGTTGGTCAGCACATGCTCGGAGTACACGTCCTGGTAATCCGTCTGGCCCTGCGGCCTTGTGAATGTTGACCTGCTTAAAAGTCTTACTCACATCGGCTACGGAGAGCGTGATCACATAGTCATCCGGAACAGCTGGTGCTCTCATGCATGCTTCAGTGTTGCTTGCCTCAAAGTGAGCATAGAAGTGGTTTAGCTCGTCTGGTAGGCTTGTGTCACTGGGCAGCTCGCGGCTGTGCTTCCCTTTGTAGTCTGTAATAGTTTTCAAGCCCTGCCACATCCGACGAGCGTCAGAGCCAGTGTAGTACGATTCAATCTTAGACCTGTATTGACTCTTTGCCTGTTTGATGGTTCGTCGGAGGTCATAGCGGGATTTCTTATAAGCGTCCGGGTTAGAGTCCCGTTCCTTGAAAGCGGCAGCTCTACCCTTTAGCTCAGTGCGGATGTTTCCTGTAATCCATGGCTTCTGGTTGGGGTATGTATGTACGGTCACTGTGGGGACGACATCATCGATGCACTTATTGATGAAGCCAGTGACTGATGTGGTGTACTCCTCAATGCTGTCTGAAGAATCCCGTAACATGTTCCAGTCTGTGCTAGCAAAACAGTCCTGTAGCTTAGCATCTGCGTCATCTGACCACTTTTTTATTAACCGAGTCACTGGTGCTTCCTGCTTTGCTGGTTCGGGGCCAGTTCTTGCTTTGCCATAAATTACTTTAGCCATACATGTTGGAGAGATGTAACCAATACGTAGTAGCCTAGACCATGCCCAGCAAACCTAGTGGGTATTCGGTGGGCAAGGTGGTCACAGGCTTGCCCACACCAAGCCCACACTAGCCCAGCACGGGCTAGCCCACAACATGCCCAACAAAGGCCAGACAATATTTTGCTTAGGGCCCCCAAAAGGCTAGATCCAGCTCTGACTGCATGTGTGGGTATGGATGTGGGTACATAGACCTGCGAGCCACTGCAAACCCTTATGATGAGTTCAGATTTTTTTGTGGCCCCCACCCCCATCAAAGTTGCCCATCCCTGCCCTAGACCAGGGTTTCCCCTGGGTGCACGTTTTGGGTTTTGACCTAGCACTACACAGCTGATTTAAAGAACCAACTCATCATCAAGCTTTGATAGTGCTAGGGCAAAAACCAAAACGTGCACCCAGGGGGGCCCCAGGACCAATTTTGGGAAACCCTGCCCTAGACCATACCCAGCAAACATTACCCCATTGGCCCCTGTGGGTATTTGGTGGGCAAGTTGGGCACTGGCTAGCCCACACCAAGGTCACACCAAGCCCACACCAGTCCAACACGGGCTACCCCACAGCAAGCCTAACACAGGCTAGCCCACACCAATCCCACATCAGTCCAACATGGACTAGCCTATACTAACCCAACACAGGTTAGCCCACACCAAGCCCAGCACGGCAGTGGAGGCTACTGGGAGGAGCTACAGGAGGAGGGGCTCATTGTAATGGCTGGATTGGAATCGATGGAACAGTGTCAAACGTGTTTTCCATATGTTTGATACTATTCAATTTATTCCATTCCAGCCATTACAATGAGCTCGTCCTCTTGTAGCTCCTCCTGCTCTGCAGCACGGGCTAGCCCACACCAAGCCCAGCTAAAGGCGGCGGCTCATTAGAATATTTGGGGGCGTGGTTTGCACGCAGTTCTTTTTTTGCAACCATTACTGAGTGTCATTCCACTTCCAATTTAAGGGTTCTGTTATGCCCATTTTTGTTTTATCTTGTACAGTGATGAAGTCTTTAAAAATAATTAAATAAGTGCATGTGACATATGAGAAACGTATATATGTAGGCCTATTACTTACAGTATATAAAATATAGGCCTATGTATGATAGCAACAACTTGGTTGTATTTCTGATACAATGAATCATGTTCCCTAAATACCTTTAAGGCTTGAACACTATACAATTTATGCACTGAATTAAGTGTCATAAATAAATTATAAATATATCAATTCCTATTAAATAGCAAACGCGCATAGGCCCAATGTGGGCAGCCTACATGGGGCCAATGTTTGAGCCCGCAATGGGCCCACATCGTGCCAAAGTGGACATGTTTACTGGGTAAGTGCAATAAGGGAGAACTTTACACCCAGGCAAAAGCTCAGTCTTATCTTAGATCTTAAACTGTAGGCAATTTTGAATGCACACTGGGGAAACATTTGTTGAATCAACGTTGTTTCCACATCCTTTCAACCAAATAAATATATGTGATGAAGTTGAATCAACATGGAAAACTGATTGGATTTGCAAAAAGTCTTAAATTTAAGGGCATTTCGAATTTTTTTCACCAAACTTTTAAACTAAATCCAATGACATTGTGATTTTTTTTTGTTGATTTCACGTTGAAGTCACTTTAGTTGACAACTCAACAAATGTAAATCAAAACTAGAAGTTAAACTGATATCTATGCCCATTGGGCTGTCTGTCTTAAGTGTTTGATTGCAATCTTGGGACAGGTCTAGATCGTGATGAATAAATGTATAAATTATTGTAGGAATTAGACTTTTAATTTCAATGGGATCATCCGTTTGCTATCTAGGCCTAATAGATAACGAAATAAATGATAAATTAAAAAAATAGGCAGCCTATGAAGACGTTTTCTTTAAACCATGGTGGGATGGATGTCAATCATGAACATGTAATAAATAAAGATTAAGTAGCCATTCACAAAATAAAATTATGATTTTGATAAACATTAGTTATGCATTGTCAACTCAAATTGGACAGATTTGCGGTTTGAATTGCAATTTATTCCATATAGCCTATTCAATTTGTGAGTTTTGTTTTGTGATTGACTGGCCTATATGTCTATAAATGCAATTGCTTTGAAATATAAAGCATTTAATGGATTAGGGTAATCATAATGATTGGTAAACGTTTTCTTATAATAATAATAATAATAATAATATGCCATTTAGCAGACACTTTTATCCAAAGCGACTTACAGTCATGTGTGCATACATTTTTTACGTATGGGTGGTCCCGGGGATCGAACCCACTACCCTGGCGTTACAAGCGTCATGCTCTACCAATTGGCCTATCTATTTCTAATGCAACTTTTTTGCTCAATATTTATTTAAACGGCTTTGGAATGAAACTCAAACAATGCTTCAAATAAGAAATTGTTTTTTTGATTCATTGTTGTCTCCATGAACGACATCGACATCCTTATATCCTAATTACATTTGTAACTTAAAATAATTTGTATCTGTATTTGTATCTGGGGTGAGGGTCAATGTCAAAGTTGAGGTTCGAGACACGGTCACAGTTTGATTTTTGGGAGAAGGTTGATGTTGCCACATGGCCTTTTGAATAAAGACATCTTGAACAAATAAACCGGTAATCTGATATCATGCATTTCTTCGCGATAATTTATTTATTTATAGCACATGCACAAAAGTGGATGGACTTTCCATTTCAAAACGTGTCTTAAAACGTACTGAAAACGGTATCTAAAGATTTATTTATTTATATATTCGGACAATACTAATCGAATTTGAATTTGGATTATACAACATTGCAGAATGGGAACATTTATTTGAGTAGTCAGTTCAGGAAATGCATGTCAAAATTGCTTCGTCATTTACTATTTTGGAGGGATTTGGTTTGCTTTTTATAAATTGACTACATAATACTATTGACGAAATAATGTAGCTGTTATTGAAAACATAAACAACAAAATGGTCCTTTCTGCTCTTTTTCCAGTAGAGGGCTCACTCATAGAACACTCTCATAGTTCTCTATGAGGTTTCTAGTCTAATCTTACCTTTTGAAACCCAGGCTTTCAATATAATTATGCAATGCATATATATATATATATATATATATATATATAATTTGTTTTTTTTGGTCACCAGGAAAAAATATTATAATAAAAATAATAATATTTTAAATATATAAATAATCATCATCACATAATCATTATCACAATAATAAGTCTAGAAGCATAATCATAACAATAAAGTTTCACTTTCCACTCAACATATGTGTGAAATAAAACTGTTTTTAGTTTAATAAAATGTGTCTTATCATTATATGATGCAAAAATAGTACCATCAAAACTACAAAATGACATAACTCAGTTTCTAATAGCTTTTAATTACATTTAGAACTTTTCTTCCACTTTCATGCTTTTCAAACAAAAAAGCAAACACAGGCTTGGACCAAAAAAAAATGGAGGGGTCAATGTTGATCTAGTATTGTTTCATAGTCAAAGACTTTGCATAGTTTACCCCACCCCAAACGCACAGAGGTCCAGGTTTGCATGTGACGTCACTCTGCGCGTGGGACATTGCTCTTTTCCCACCTCTCACTCGAGGAATAGAAGTTGTCAGGCAGGAACGGGACGGGGCAGTCTCCCACTCCATTTCTTCAGCTATCGGCCTGCACTATCCCTCCTGTATGGTGGATATTATATTCAATTCTTCTTTCTTGGGTGATATGGGGGATCATTCCAAAAGTAAGTAAACATTTGCGTCTCTCTTTTTTTAAAACTTTAACCCAGGCACATTTATGATTGATTTTATCATTAATAATATTGGGCTACTATTGAAACATTGTATGTACAATCATATGCATATGTTTAGCGTTAAACAGACCCAGTGAATCGAAAGCAAGGCCTTTATCGTTGGTAATGGTGATATGAATACATTTTAGTAGAGGTCTATGGTCAGTTTTAAGCGTAGGCTACGGCCCTTCATTCTGGAAATGACAAGGATGACAGAACAGGACAAGCTGCATTGACAGGCGACAGAGTGGACACAACACAAAGCGAGTATGTCTGGGGGATTACATGGGTGTACGTGGTGGTAGCATAAATATACAATGTGCATTCCACAGAGAAGTCTGGAATCGCAATGTGTGTGGGCTGTGGGAGTCAGATCCACGACCAGTACATCCTGCGGGTCGCCCCGGACCTGGAGTGGCATGCTGCGTGTCTGAAGTGCGCGGAATGCAGTCAGTACCTGGATGAGACGTGCACTTGCTTCGTCCGAGATGGCAAGACATACTGCAAAAGAGATTATGTAAGGTAGGAGTTGACTAACTTTCCTCACTAACGTTATTTCAGAGCTTTGGAATGTCCAAAGGCCAAAATTGTGATTTGATTTAGCTACTGTACAAGAAAGTGGAAATGTATTAGAAGCTTGTTGACATTAATGCAAAAAAGGATCTATATGAGACACAATAGCATATAGGCTAGTCAAAGTTTCTGTTTGTTAAAAAAATAATAAAAAATAATAAAAAAGTTGTCTTATCGTAGGCATGTTTTTGGGATGATTTGAGCCTAATGTTTTATGCTTGGGAAGAAAAGTGTGTAATATATAGGCCTAGTGTGGTCCTCTGTAGCTCAGCTGGTAGAGCACGGCGCTTGTAACGCCAAGGTAGTGGGTTCGATCCCCGGGACCACCCATACACAAAAAAAATGTATGCACACATGACTGTAAGTCGCTTTGGATAAAAGCGTCTGCTAAATGGCATATTATTATATTATTATAGTAGGTACAATATGAATTCCCAAACTGTTTTGATGATTTTATTGTGGATGATGGCTATCCTTGAAATACATTTGACTTACTCAGCCAGGATCATAGACATTAAAACCAGGCAAGGATGCGTGAAGCCATTCCTGCTATATGCCCATGCATTATAACATATTGAGACCAATATTCCTATGTCCTTTTCAGATTATTTGGGATTAAATGTGCAAACTGTAACATTGGCTTCTGCAGCAGCGATCTGGTGATGAGAGCTCGTGACAACGTGTACCACATGGAGTGTTTTAGGTGCTCGGTTTGCAGCAGGCATCTCCTGCCGGGGGATGAGTTCTCTCTGCGGGACGAGGAGCTGCTGTGTCGGGCTGATCATGGTTTACTGATGGAACGGGCCTCAGCGGGAAGTCCCCTAAATCCGGGAATTATTCACTCCAGGTCTCTTCATATTGCAGGTCAGTAAAATAATAATGGTGGTAATAATAATAGCGATAGTATAATATTAATAACAACGTTAATAACAACTAAAGGATATAATATAATAATAGTATAATTATTATTATTCTTGTCTGTAAAATTGTCCTTTCACTGAGCAAGTTTGCAGACTTTTAAGCCTACTAGTTTATTAAATTACATTAATTGGTAGACTAAACAAAGTACAGCCTATTGTGTGCTGTTTTTATCTATTACATTTGTTCAATTATTAGACTAAAATGTAGCCTATCTAAATGCGTTTATTTCGAAAACAATAAAGGTAACATTTAGGCTGTGTGAAGGGGGTATTCTGCAATGGTCGATATATTTTTGGTAATTTAGCCTATATAGGCCTACTGAACGTTTAGAGTTTGTAGATGTGAAGTTAGAAGAAGAGAGAATAAAAGACATCGATCGAAACATAGGGCTAATTCTACAACAGAAAAATAATGTTATTTCAATGTATTAAAAAAATATATATATGTAGTTCACAAGTATGTTTTTTGAGTTAGTAGCCTATTTGCAAGGAGATGCAAACCTATATAGCCTATAGGTTTAATTAAAGTTTAACAAACCATCTTATTACTTAGGCTATCACAAAATTACATGATTAGACTCCCAGTAGTATAATCGTTAGCCTATTATTAGCTGAATAGGGAGAAGAAGGGTATCATCAGCCATTTTCCTTTTCGATGCATTTCTAAATTGGGATCAGTCAGTGGAAATTCAATTTTCAAAAGGTATTTCCTTTTGAATATTTGTCCGACAGATCCTGTGTCCGTTCGACAGCCTCCTCATCGGAACCACGTCCACAAGCAGTCTGAGAAGACCACTCGGGTGCGAACAGTATTGAACGAGAAGCAGCTCCATACCCTGCGGACCTGTTACAATGCCAACCCAAGACCAGACGCACTTATGAAAGAACAATTGGTTGAGATGACCGGTCTTAGCCCAAGGGTCATCAGAGTTTGGTTCCAGAACAAACGTTGTAAAGACAAGAAGAGATCGATATTCATGAAGCAACTTCAACAACAGCATCACAGCGATAAAACGGTGAGGTTATTGAGACTTTCCAATGCAACAAACATTTTGGTCTACTAAAAAGAAAGGTGCAATTTAATGGAGCGTGCCAAAATGTTGAGACAACCAGATGGTGGTGAGATGTTTGTTGTGATACATTTTCGTTTTCTCTGTAGAATCTTCAGGGGCTGACGGGTACGCCTCTGGTGGCAGGCAGTCCAATTCGACACGACAACACGGTCCAAGGGAACCCAGTAGAGGTGCAGACTTACCAGCCCCCATGGAAGGCCCTGAGCGAGTTCGCCTTGCAGAGTGACCTGGACCAGCCAGCCTTCCAGCAGTTGGTAGGCACCCACACGAAAAAGAAAAAGAGAGCTGCACACTCTAGACACACATACACACACAAACAGAAACGAGAATTTTGAAATAAATGAATGTTTATTCACGAAGCTAAACACCATCCACTGTATCTCAATTCAGATTAGAGACTGCTGCTTTAGTCACTCAATCAATTTCTAAATAGTAAATTAATGCTTCTAAGCATTACATTCAAATGCTGATCGATTTACATTATGGGCTGTAATAGGCTACACAAATTCTTATTGACATAAATAATCTTTGCATTGGACTTAATCGAAACATAACGCCTGTATCACACGAAGCAATTTGTACCCAATTTCTGCTGAAAATGTTTTTTTTAAACCTTTATTTAATTAGGCAAGTCAATGCAAGTTGCAAGTGACATCATCTAGAGCAACTTTTCTGATACAATTCAAACGCAATTGAAATTGCATGCAACATCCAATCCTGTCATAAATCACGTCATGGTTTCATAAAATGATTTGTTTGGTAATTGTAACAGCATCGATAGACAAACTGCTATCTGTACAATTTAGCTAACTAGCCAAAATGTTGCCTATTTGCCAACCATGTTTTAACAATATAGCTAACTTGGGTAGCTAACCAAGCTAGGGATGACTAGCCAGTTCATGTTGAACCATTTCAGTTGAAACTGGACAGAGAATGGTCTGGGTTCACTTCTAAAATGACATTTATTGTCTGCCAGACCATGTACATAACCCATGACTAGCCATGATGTCTAGAATGTATACATACCCCATTTGGCATGTATTTTCTGTCTCGGTTTGCAACAGCACTGACAGCTGTGTTGACATGACAACTGGTTGGAGTCCTGAACAGAACGATATGAGTTCTGCTCACTGATTGGACATTGCATACAATCAGTTGCATGAAATAGGATTGATTTCTGTCTTGTGATGCAATGCAACTAAGACACACGGAGCAACAGGGGGGTGACACACGGAGCAACATACATTGCGTCCAGATTGATTCGTGTGGCATCGGCTTTAGGGTCCATATTAATAGGCTATACAATAAACACTTTTTTTGTTGCAATATTGGGGAGGAAACAACGCTTATTAAACACTTGTTTCCATCGCAGGTGTGTTTTTCTGAATCGGGCTCCATGGGTAACTCCTCGGGCAGTGATGTGACCTCCTTGTCGTCGCAGTTGCCGGACACCCCGAACAGCATGGTAGCGAGTCCGGCAGACACGTGAGACCAGCCCAACAGGTCGTTTCGAACCCCAGCATGCTCCCGCGTGTCCTGCATGAGAACTGGCCAGCTCACAGCATGGATAGGGAAATGATTTAATCTTATTTAAAGAACAATATCGTTGGAATGGTCTACGAGGATACCAATTGTTCACGGATGGACCTGTCCACAGCATTGTTCGGGATCAGATGAATTTCAAGGTACCAGTGTGACAACCAAGGCCTATAACTAAAACAGAGTCTGAGCTTCGGATCCTACATGGTTGGACATACTTGAGGATTATATCTACAAACATTCAACTTTATTATGAGCCACTGACTTATAATGTACATATCAGAACATTATCCATAGTGGCCAACACGGCCATCATTGTATAGTTTCATCTAAGTTTCCTATGCCGGGTTGGGATCATATGGAGCCCCATGTCTCTGTAGATGTGCATGATTTCTAGAGATGATGAATATCAAGTCTTGTAAAATATTGTAATTAAGTGGATGAGATACAGATTGTTTGAGCCTTTTAAGAAAAAGTAAGTTATTGTTATTTATTGTGAGGAAAGACAGGCAATCTTAATAAACCCATATTAATTGTTTCATGTTTAATGAACTGCATGCGAAATCTCTGCAGTAATTCATTAAAATATTCACCGAAATTTCAATTGACAAAATAAATCACTTTATATATTTATGAAACGGCTATTTCAGCACTTTATGGTGGGTTTAGGCCTAATTTAAAGTATGTAGCTTTTAGGATGAAAAACGTCAGACTTATAATAGGCCTATATAAATCACTGATTTGATGTCAGTTTAGAGGACCCTATTTCTGAAAATCGCTTGGGTTGTTAGACAAAATCAATTTGTAAACTTGTAATTTTAATTGTATTGGCTATTCAAAATGGATAAAGGAGCAGCATCATAGCGGGTCAAATTCAAGCGTTTGAGGCCTGTTAATCACTAATGAGGCCAAATTGTTCATTGAATTGGCCTCCACATATGGATTTGCGATGTGATCATTCCAGTTTCACTTGTAATGTCACAAGTCTAGACAGAGGACAGGGCTAGGCGGCTCCTTATCTATGCTTGGCATCACCTGCAAACGATACATTGAATGGAACCACAACAAACCCACCTCTCTGTCGCTGGATTCAGTGCCAAAGGGGACTCCCACCCTGCGAACGCATTCTGGAGTGTCTTGGGTTTATTTTCATTTCAGCCGGAATCCCGGAATGGAATAGCCTCTGGACATGGAGTACGTCAAGCTTGCCTACGACTGACATATAGCCAACTAGACATCAACAATTTGTTGTCGAGGATGAACTTTGTGAACAGAGGATGCAATAGCAGTCTAACCTATTTATCACGACCTGAAACAGCAATTGAAAGAAACATAGTAGGCATGTGACGTCTGGCATCAAATCAAAAAGCCATTAGGTCTATACTCTATCTTGCCATGTCAATTATGTCAATAATCGCTATGCATCCAGTAGCCTACTGACTAATAAATCCAGGTTTCCTGCCATTATACTCCACCTAATTATTCGTCTGGAAATATTTCATTATCGTAGTTAAAAACTCAGATATTTTAGAAACAAAGCATATAGCGTGTTCGAGATACTGGCCTAATCAAATTAATCGCAATTTAAACCTTATTTAGGCCTAATACACATTCATAATTCACTTTAGAAATGTTTTCTATATAAAAGAAGGCAATGTCTAGAATAAAGGTTTAAAAACGGAGTCGCACAGAAAATAACAGCATAATTTCCCTTTTATCAGATAATTATATAGATAGTTTACAAATCTACATCTCACAATCTCCATCTAAATAGGCTAGCAGTATCCGATACACATCATTAGCCCAAACAAAAGCATCGTTAATCCACTGTTGCGCCACCGATGCGAAAATAGATAGCCTACTGTAATTTCCTCCTGAGGCATTTCAGGACTTCACCCTACGGATAACAAATGATTGGAATTTAATTTCCCATACTAAAGTCATCAATTGTCCTAAACAATGGACTCAAAGCATATAACATGCTGTATAAATAATTAGGCTACTCTACAGGTTGATGCATAAACAATTGGGGTATACTTCTTCAGGGAAATAATAGGCCTACTTTTCAAGCACCTGGTAGGCACCCAACCTAGACAAGGGCGGATTAAGTGATTTGGAAGACCCAGGCAGATGCCAGTCTGAGGCCCCGCCCAGAGCAGTCTCTAGCCTTTGTGGGCCCTAAGAGAGATTGGAGGTCGGGGGCCCCCAAAATGCGCCCTTCTGTAATTTAGCCATGATTACAAGGTTTAGATAGCTGGCTAGATCATCAATTTACCTAGCAATCTATAAAATGTCAGCTGACATGGGCTAATTGAGTGACTGTCAGTGAATGACATAAGAGAAAAACTGCTGCACTCCCAAATTTCTAAATTGCAACCTTGTGTATTCTACTATTCTAACTCCCAACGGTAAGTTGAGACCCCGACTGAGTTCCTACATTTTTTATTCACGAGGCCCCCGATGATGTGAGGCCCCAGGCAATTGCCTAAAGGGTAAATCCGCCACTGACCGTAGTAGCGCTTGCAGGTGAATTTCAGAACTTTGCCGGAGAGCATAAGTTTATCACAGTATGCAAAGTGCATGAGTAATGTTTTATGCATTTACTATCCCTTAATATGAGACCTCTTCAGTTGAGATACAAGTTGAAGAGATGCTTGGCATGTAGGAAATGCTCAACAGCAGTTACAATGAACACTTGGTAACATTGTGAGAATATACCCTGCCCTGTATCGGTTTACACACACACTGAAAATAATTATTAAAATTGTGCATTCATTTATATGAACGTTTTCTTTCTAAAAACGATCCACTGGTAAGCCTCCTTGCTGGGAGCTATGAAATACAGTGCTGAAAGTCTACACACCCTTGCACTGTTCTCACATTTTTACACTTTAAATTTAAAACCAAAAAAGGGATTAAATTAGCATTTCCCCCAACTGATCTACACAACCTACTCAACATTTTCCAAGTAAAATATATTTTTAGAATTGTTCTGAAATGAATAAAAAACTAAAAACTAAAGTTTTGATTGTGAAGGTCTTCACACCCTCTGCTGTGGCACATCAAAATAAGCTCAGGAGCAAATGTTTTCATAGAAAATCACAATTTGTTGAAGGAGGTCCATGTGTTCGCAAAAGTGGTTCTCATGATTTCAGAACAACTTCCCCCGTCTCTGTATGGTCCCTCAATTGGAGGGTGAACGTCAAACAATGATTCATCCTCAGAGCCACCAATGTGCTTTAAAAGTATGTCTGGGATACATTTTCAGACAGGCATAGATCAGGGGAGGTTAAGAAATAATTCCAAGACACTGAATATTCCTTTGAGTATGGTCAAGTATGGTAATTAATCTGTGGATGGTGTATCATATCACCCAGACACTGCAAAGATCTGTCCATCCTTCCTAATGGAGCTGTGAGAGAATGGAAACTACTCAGGGACATCCCTATGATGCACTCCAGGCTCTTTTTCCCCTAATTTACTTAACAAAGGCACACCTCAATAGGTGGTCCAGGCTCAGTTGGTAGAGCATGGCACTTGCAACGCTAGGGTTGTGGGTTTGATTCCCACGGAGGACCAGTACGAAAATCTATACACACTACTTTAAGTCGCTCTGGATAAGAGTGTCTGCTAAATGACTAAAATGTATGACATGGCACAAGTGTGTGTGTGGGAATCTTTCCTCTTTGGTCTTCTATTGTTCCCGCAAGCAAGGGGGGAGGCCGATGACATCACATCAGACCAACTCCTTGAAGTTGTGTCCAAAACAACAAAAACACTATTTGGGTAATTTTGTTATACCCTTAAAGACATCCTCCTGCAATTTATGGACTTTTACTGTTGAAAAGCGATATCCCAAGTATAAATACAGTAAAGCGCACACACACTAAAGGGTAAAAAATATATATGTTTTCAGCACAATAGTGTTTTTTAGACAACTGGAAACTTCAAGGAGTAGGGCATTCAAGGTTTTGGTCTGATGGGAATCCGTGATGTCATCGACCTCCCCCCTTGCTTGAGGAACAATATAGGACAAAAGGCCCACCCCCCACTTGTGCCATGTCATGATTTATCTGAACCACCTAATGAGATGTGCCTTTTGTAAATCAGGTGTTAAAATGAGGTGAAAAGGAGACTGGAGTGTCATTTTAAGTGCGTGTACATGACAGTACACAGTGCATTTGGAAAGTATTCAGACCCCTTTACTTTTTCCACATTTTGTTACGTTACAGCCTTATTCTAAAATTGATTAAATCTTTTTTTTTTTTCACTCAATCTACACACAATACCCCATAATGACAAAGCAAAAACAGGTTTTTAGGAATGTTTGCTAAAAATAAAAACTTAAATATTTCATTTACATAAGTATTCAGACACTTACTCAGTACTTTGTTGAAGCACCTTTAGCAGCGATTACAGCCTCGAGTCCTCTTGGGTATGACGCTACAAGTGTGGCACACCTGTATTTGGGGAATTTCTCCCATTCTTCTCAAGCTCTGTCAGGTTGGATGGGGTGCGTCACTGCACAGCTATTTTCAGGTCTCTCCAGAGATGTTCGATCGGGTTCAAGTCCAGGCTCTGTCTGGGCCACTCAATGACATCCAGAGACTTGTCCCGAAGCCACTCCTGCGTTGTCTTGGCTGTGTGCTTAGGGTCATTGTTCTGTTGGAAGGTGAACCTTCGCCCCAGTCTGTGGTCCTGAGCGCTCTGGAGCAGGTTGTCATCAAGGATCTCTCTGTACTTTGCTCCATTCATCTTTCCCTCGATCCTGACTAGTCTCCTAGTCCCTGCCGCTGAAAAACATCCCCACAGCATGATGCTGCCACCACCATGCTTCACTGTAGGGATGGTGCCAGGTTTCCTCCAGACGTGACGCTTGGCATTCAGGCCAAAGAGTTCAATCTTGGTTTCATCAGACCAGAGAATCTTGTTTTTCATGGTCTAAGAGTCTTTAGGTGCCTTTTGGCAAACGGGCTGTCATGTGCCTTTTACTGAGGAGTGGCTTCCGTCTGTCCACTCTACCATAAAGGCCTGATTGGTAGAGTGCTGCAGAGATGGTTGTCCTTCTGGAAGGTTCTCCCATCTCCACAGAGGAACTCTGGAATTCTGTCAGAGTGAGTATCGGGTTCTTGGTCACCTCCCTGACCAAGGCCCTTCTCCCCCGATTGCTCAGTTTTGCCGGGCGGCCAGCTCTAGGAAGAGTCTTGGTGGTTCCAAACTTCTTCCATTTAAAAATGGAGGTCACTGTGTTCTTGGGGACCTTCAATGCTGCAGAACTGTTTTGGTACCCTTCCCCAGATCTGTGCCTCGACACAATCCTGTCTCGGAGATCTACGGACAATTCCTTCGACCTCATGGTTTGGTTTTTGACTGACATGCACTGTCAACTGTGGGACCTTATATAGACAGGTGTGTGCCTTTCCAAATCATGTCCAATCAATTGAATTTACCACAGGTGGACTCCATTCAAGTTGTAGAACCATCTCAAGGATGATCAATGGAAACAGGATGCACCTGAGCTCAAT